CGGGGCTGCTGCGAGGGGCCAGCTCCTGCCAGCGCCTCAGCCGTGGGGCACCACGCTGAGGGACCTCTGCCTGCCTCTGCAGGGGTGTAAGCACTCCAGGGCTGTGCCACCGTCCCCTCGGGGACATCTGAGCCCAAACAACAGCACCTGGACCCCGCCAGAGCCCAGGATTGTGGGACACAGGCTGAGGGGAGCCACTGCCCAAAGGCAATCCCCAAATCGTGCCCCAGTGAAGGCACGGGGGTGGTTTGCAGCTCCCTGGCATTGCTCAGTCCCAAACTGGCTCCTTGTCCTGCCACAGCCCAGGGGGAAAGGGGCAGGGATCCGGCGGGTCCGTACTGCCCTGCAGGAAAAGCCCCAAATATCCCCAGCACAGCCCCCAGCGCGCCAGGGCTCGATGCCACCTCAGCCATAGGGACAGGGAGAGCCCCAGATCCCATCCAGAGGGACAGGGAGAGCTTCAAATCCCACCCATCCAGGCAGGGAGAGCCTCACATCCCATCCAGAGGGACAGGGAGAGCCCCTCATCCCATCCAGAGGGACAGGGAGAGCCCCTCATCCCATCCAGAGGGACAGGGAGAGCCCCACATTCCATCCAGAGGGACAGGGAGAGCCCCTCATCCCATCCAGAGGGACAGGGAGAGCCCCACATTCCATCCAGAGGGACAGGGAGAGCCCCTCATCCCATCCAGAGGGACAGGGAGAGCCCCACATTCCATCCAGAGGGACAGGGAGAGCTTCAAATCCCATCCAGAGGGACAGGGAGAGCCTCTCATCCCATCTATCCAGGCCCCTCACCCCATCCAGGCAGGGAGAGCCCCACATTCCATCCAGAGGGACAGGAGAGCCCCACATTCCATCCAGGCAGGGAGAGTTTCAAATCCCACCCATCCAGGCAGGGAGAGCCCCACATTCCATCCAGGCAGGGAGAGCCCCTCACCCTATCCAGGCAGGGAGAGCTTCAAATCCCACCCATGCAGGCAGGGAGAGCCCCACATCCTGCCCCAGCGGACCCCAGCAGCCCCACAGCACCAGTAGGCCCTGGGACTCTGCTGGAGAGGTCCTGACATTCCCTCCAGAGCGGGTTCCCCGCTCCAGCCAGGTGCAGGGACCTGGAGAATGCCACTGTGGCCACCCGGGTGCCTCTGAGGGTTTCAGAAACCCTCGAGGTTTATCAGGGCAGCAGGGACAGGTGACCAGGGAGGCAGCAGTGTGGGGACCCTGTCCCCACAGCGTGTCCCCACCCTGTGCCACCCCCAGGCTGCAGCTCCCTGATGCTCCTCAGAGCTGAAATTTGTCCTTTTTTCTCTGAGAAAAAAAAGCCCAAGACAGCCCTCAGTGGAAACACCACCTCACCATGGCCCTGGGCAAGCTGGCAGCAAGCCCAGGCTTCCCCATGCCGGGATTTTGTCCCTTTTTAGTGTTTTTCCCTATTGAAACAGCAAACAGTGGTGATGCTGGGCCCGGAGAGGGCAGATCCCCCGGAGCACTGCAAGCCCCCCAGCCTGGCCCAGCCCTCCTCTCCCTCGCCACTGTATTGCTCAAACAGCACTAGGCATGGATACAAAAATAAAACAGCTATGTGACTTAGATATATATAATTTTTATATATATATATATATTTGTATATATATTTTTTTGTCTATTTATAGGTGGATGGAGAAGCAGAGAAGCTGAAGCGCAATATAATGTAAAAATACTCGCTCTGCTCCTGCTGTTGAGACTCTCCCCACCTCTGACAGCCTCTCTCATGCTGCACAGAAGTTTCTGACACCTATTACTAACGAATTATTTTAAATATTTATTCTCCCCCCCTTCTAAAATAGAGAGTAAATATATATTTGTTTAATTTTATATACAATGCGGTTTCAATACACCAATATCATTTCTTTAGATAGAGATACTGGGGCTCATTTCTCAAGTCTTTTTTTTTTGTGTGTTTTATTTTAATCTAAGTGCTGGGGGGGGAGTGGGTGGAAATCCAAGGAGCTTTCAGACCTGGGAAGATGGGCACCCTCTTTTGCAGCCCTGCAACCTCAGGAGAACAAGAATAAAAGCCCTCCTGGGAGAGAAAGTGTCATTTTGATGGTAAATATAAAATCCGGGCAAGCTGTCCTCCATGTGGGATGCCAGCCCCTCCATCCTGCATTTCCCACCCCACTGCAACCAGTACAAAAATCCTTATCTACCTCTAGAGCACATGCTTGCCTCAGCCAACACCCCCGAGCCTGAACCAGCCCCTCTGCCCCCCCTCACTGCCCACCCCCTGCCCAGGTCCCCCCTCCATCCATGCACGTATCAAAAGCCAGCCAGAGCCCCAGGACTGGGGATGCTCGTCCTGCTGCCACGCAATGCCGAGGAGAAGAGCTCAGCCAGCTGTGCCAAAACACCCAAAATTGGGGAAAATGGAAAAACACGGCTCCCTCTCATCCCAGTCACCCAGGCAGGGGAACAGGCTCCCATCTCCACACAACCACACTGGTCCTCCCTGCTTGGGGATGTGCCAACTGATGGAAATTGAGTGCAATATTAAGTTTCTTCTTTTGCTGGCACCGGTGTTGCCAAATCTGGTCGCTGCCTCCCAGCCCTCAGTTCCTGGATCAAGCATTCCCTGACAGATTTCTAACAGGAACAACTGCACTTCCTACCTCTCCTTCCCACAAACACAGGCAGAGAGGAGTCAAGATACTCAAAAACAGAAAAAAAAAAAAAAACCAACAGAATTTGGATGGAGGGGCGAAATGGGAGTAAATATCCTGCTTTCTGTAAGGGCCACCCCGTGCCCAGACAGCACAGGGATGGCTCTGGGAGAGGAGTGAGGATCCAGCCTGAATCCAGCTGTCCCTGTGCCCGGGGTCAGTACCAGCTCTGGCATCACTGGTGACCAAACCCCCTCTCTGCCTCAGATCCTCAAAGTCCTGCTAATGAGGTTTAAAATAAAAAGACTCTGTCAAGAACATCTTGTCCCTCCCAGGAGGCACTGCTGGGGCTGGCTGGCACAGCCAGTGCTGCATTCCTCAGCTCAGGGGACAAATTTAGCTGTATCCCTCTCTCATCCCTTCTGACTCACGCTTCTCTGGGAAGAACAGACGCAAAGCAAAATGCTTTCACACGAGTAACCAGAGAGCAGCATCTAGAGGGACTCGAGGGAAGGGTTTTTGCGTGGTGCAGCTTTTTCTTTAAGCGATGGCACCAGGGATGAGGCAATGTGACATCCCCCTCCCGTGTCCTGTCCCGTGTCACGCCCCACGTGCCTCGGGCACGCAGAGCACAGGACCTGTCCCTCCTGCTCCTCCATCTCAGGGCCCAAGGGTGAGTCACGGACAATGAACAAAGCAAAGCTAAAAACTGGGGATGAAATAATGAAACAGAGCGATCTGTGGTGTGCAGCAGGGCCACAGCGCAGCTCACACCGGTGCCTCTCCATCCCCAAATTCCCCTCAGGCTGCAGCTGCTGCCAGCCCCTTCCCAGCTTGGCCCATCCTGATCCCCCGCTCCAGCACGGCTCTAAACTCTCCCCATGACACACACATACCCCGACATGCAAATCTACTGAATTCTGCAAACCTATCTACCTTTGTCCTATGCTTCTCTATCTATTTATATCTCATATGTACAGTGGGTTTTACTCCGGTTCCTTGAGAAGATTTCCTTCCAAAAAAGCCCTGACTTCAGTCTGGGGCTGCAGCGAGCCCATGTGGGACGTGTGGAAATCCCTGAAGGTCCAGCCTCATGGAAAAATACCTCCAGACAAGAGCTACAGCTGAAACCAACCCAAAACTCCAAGAACTCCCAAATCTATGTCACTGCCTGAAGCAGGAAGAGAAACCAAAATGCCAGGCGGATTTTGTCCTAATACAGACAGCAAGGTGGGAGCAGCAATGAGTCTGGAACGTGTGTCATGTCTGGATGCCACCAGACGTGACTAAGTCCTGCCAGGACCGTGCCTGGGCTGCTGATCCCAAATCCAGTGTCCTCAGCACTCCCAGAGGTAGGTACAGCAAGCTGTTATTCCCTTTATATTCCCTTTACATTTATATATCCGAACAGCATCACCTCCAGCCTTCCTCCAGTGGCACTGAGCCAGCTGACAAGGTGACAAACACCAGATGAACAGCCTGGAGTCCCCCCGTGCCCCAAAGCAGCCTCCAAGTCACAGGTGACCAGCACAGGGGAGCAGGAATGAGAATCCTCCCAGGAAAAGGATTTCCCCTGCTCACACAGACAGCACGAGGGCTCACGGTGACTCAGGGGGCAGACTGCAAACCATGCGAGGTTCAGACTGGGAAGGGACCCTGGGACCTTGCAGCTCCCCCATCCCACAAACTCATCACTCCCTGTGCCCGTGGGTGCTGTAGTGGCAGGCACAGCAATGGGGCCCCACAAACGAGTCCTGAATGCTCCCTCTCCCCCCTGACACTAACTTGCATTTTCCTTCACGTCAACACTGCAGAACCAAAACGCTGCTGGGGCTGCACAGCAAAGTCACCTTAGAAACACGTGGATGAGAGCTCAGCAAGCCCTGCTGGAAAAGCAGGCAAAGCACTTTTCCTGCCCTTTTTCCCTGCCTGCTCCAGGACTCCCTGTTGGACTGCAAGGGACAGCACCCCAGGAGCACCCCTTTTCCACAGGATTTCAGTGGCATCCTGTATCCACCTCTCCATGTCACCTTCCCCAGCTCAGGGTGCCCCAATCCTGCAACCCCCAAGGTGGCACGAAACCAATGCTAGAGCATCCCCACCATGGCCACCTTGCAGGGAGAAGCATCAGCAAGGACCCCCCAAAACGGGGCTGGTATCCCTACACTGACACCCCAGCAGAGCCCAGGGACAATATCCTTGTGATTCAGAGGAATTTTTTCACCGTGGGCCAGGATTTGCCAAGGGACCTAATAGAACATCATGTTCACAACGTGAAAGGAGGAATTGTACAGTTACTGATAGATACAGAAAGAGCCATCTACCTCAGACCAGCTTAGAAAATAAGAGAGTGTGGCCCAGAAAGATAAAAATCAAGATATATTTTGCAGCATGAAAGGAAAAAAAAAAATAAAAATAATGAAGAAGCAGCAGCAGCAGCGACAGCAGCTGTGTTTGCAAACCACCAAAGCGACACGGAGTTCAAACGGGGGTGAAATGGGGGAAGTGTTTGGCATCGTCTGACACGGCTTCGATGTTTCCAGGTCCACGGAAGGAGAGAGGAGCGACCCTGAAGGGCATGGAAACCAGAGGGCTGGGAGAAGCGAGGAGGAGGTTGCCAAAGCAAGAGGCGAGCCAGTCAGCCAAAGCACGGCCCGAGTCTATCAGAAGGTAACTCGGTCTAGCAGGGAAAGGAGTTAAGGATGGTTTTAGGGAGGAGCTGCTTCCACGAGGCGCCCGGGCGGGATTTCCCACTCCAGCAGCGTGGCAGGTACACGGCTGAAAGAGAGAGGGCTGCAGCTCCAGCCTCTAAAGGTCGAAGACCATGAAAAGCCCAGTGGCTCAAAACACCTGCAAAAGGAAAACAAATCTCAAAAGACTGACCCAGCAAGCCAGCATGCTCCGTCAACCTGCCCTGCACTCCAAGTCCTCTAGAGCTCCTTAAGATGGGATGGGGCATAGTCCTGAGGTAGAAACCTCAAGAGCCTGAAGACAGCGCCTGGCCCATCCGAACGGGTGTCGTAAATCGTTTGGAAAGCACTCAAATGGAAAAGCAACCCTCTGTTCCAGAGGCTGAGGCAATGAGAGCAAAAGGAAGAGCAAGTTGGCCATGGCACAGGCAGCACAGAGCCTCCACGCCTCCCCCAGCCCCGAGGGTCACCTGTCCATCAGGAGCAGCCCAGCTGGAGGGACCGGCGAGCTGAAGTTGGCCAAGCCAGGCAGAGTTTTCCCCGCTGCCGAGCGGGAGAATGGCATTAAATCAATTCAGATCCGAGCAGGTTCTAGGGAAAAAACCCTAAAAACACACCCAAAGAAAAGAAATTCGCAGTCATACTGTTAGCAAGGTTGAGTTCTCACTCTGAGAGTTGAGGTTCTTACGTCAGGTCACTCGTCAGGTCAATAAAAAGCCCTGGTACAGGCTGGAAAGAGAGGGGCATTTCTGCCAGACCCTCCCTCCTTCCCAAGACAAACCTGGTGATGGTTTGAGAAAGTTGTTAAAGCTCAGAAATATCTGGTTATCGATTTAGAGGATTCATTGTCCAGCGGTTCAAACCTTACTTAGGGCCTGGAGATTGGAAAAGACACGGTGCTCTGCTTTTGGTGGCCACAGGTTCCCGAGCATCCTGCTGGGAAAGGAAGCACAACCTCTAAAACCAGGTATAAGGAGGCAGAGCAATCAACAGGCTCCGACCTAAAAGCGTGGCATGGTCAGAGAGCCAGATCACAACCGAGAGCTCACGTCTTCCTCCAAACATCTCAGCCCTTGGAGGTTCAACCAGCAGCAAGAGCAAAAACCAAGGCAAAGCAGAATTAAAGGCGAGATTGCAGAGAATCTCTTGGCAATTCTACCTGGGAATAAACAAAAGTTTCATATGCAAATAGAGAGCCTGGGGCTAAAAACATGCCTGCAGGCTCTCCAGCTCTCCTGACACTTTTTCTACAGCCTGAATCCACTCAAAGCAAGAATATCTACATGAAACACTCGGTGTTTTATTCCCAGGCAGGCTGGAGGGTTTAGCACTTTACCGCAGAGGAAGAACTGTGCAAACCTGGATGCAGTGGTTGATTTTACCACTTCAAACCAAAAAAAAAGAATCAACTCTAAATATTTTAAAGGTAGGGATTGCTTGGTATTAGCACTAAGCATTTACATAGCACTTGCAGTCTGTAGGCCACCAAGTGCTTGTCCAAAGTGCTCAAATATGACTTATCCCCATTTTACAGATGGGAGAACTGAGGCACAGAGAGGTCAAGTGACTTGCCCAAGGCCACGCAGTCAGAGAGTGGAGGCAGAGCAGGAAAGTGAGCCCGGCTGTTCTCGGGTTACACCTTGCCTGCTAAAAACAAACCAAAAAAAAAGGCCTATGCAATCCAGAAAACCACCAGCCACCAAACCTACCCTATTCTGAAGAGGAAATACATTCTGGTGAAGAGTTAGAACAGCATTACTGAGGGGAACAGGGAGCAAAGGGAGGGGCACAACCCTGGCAGGTGTCACAGCCGACACATCCGGGCTGGAGCAGGAAGGAAAAAGGGAAAAACAGTGAAACCAGCAGCAACGTATTTTAAGCTGGCGCGAAACGCTGGGCTTAGCTTTGCACGGAGCCATCCACGTCCATCCGCAGAGCTGGGCACTTCCAGATGCTCTCCCTGGGGCTCAGCACCTGCCGACGGAGGCTTTGGGGACCAGGCAGCCAAACCCCGCTCGCCCGCACGCCCACGTCTCCCCCTTTGCGGTTATGGGTAGGGATTAAACATCACACAGTAAGAAATCACATCACCATGCGGCGCTGAAGAACATTTGCCTGAGATACACAGAGCAGTCGGGCAGAATTAATCAAACCCACCCTCATCAAAGCTGGCACACGCCACACCTGGAGGGGGAAACACCCTCAGATCGCATCAGCCCCGCACCTGCGCGCTCGCACGGCATCAAGCACACCTCACCGAGGCTCGAGTGCATTTGCACACAGACAAATGGTGATTTCTCACATTGATTCGAAGGCTCAGGGTCTTTCTGGCTTTTCCCTTTCAGAGATAGGTAAGGAAAGATGTCACGGATGGTTTTGCTGCTGTTACCTTCACGTCAAAGGAGGCTGGGAAGGGGGAGGCAGGGAGATTTTCACAATTACATCTTTCCTGGGATTATTTGGTCATGTTTTTATCATAATCAGATTCATGGGATTACCAGTTCCCGCCTGGGTTGTTAGGTTCTTGTCACTTAATTACACCCTGTGTCATTCAACTTCTTCTGGCGATTGAGGGCCAGCTGCTCAATCCCACACTTTCCCCCTAAACGCGCGCTGCCGACGCAGATGTCAAAAGCTCCATCCATGCCTTTGAAGCCTAGAGATCTTTTCCAAAACCGAGATGCAACACCCCTCTTCCCACCCCACCCAAACTGTTTGGGGTGGGGGAGAAGTGGATTTGAGGAACACCCAGCCCAAAGCATTCTCCCCAAAGCATCCCCCAGGTCCCCCCAGCTCGTCCCCACCGTGAGCCACCGAACCCCTCAGAGAGGTGACAGCTTAGGGGTGTCCCCCCCTCTTTCCCATCACCTCCATCCCCCCGTGGTGTGACACCAGCTCCCTCCACCGCTCCTGTTCAACCTCCTGGGACCGGCGCTAGGCTAGAGCAGGGTGGCGTGTCCACTGGTGTCATCGTGGTCCACGCTGTTGAGAATGGCTGTCTGGTCTTCAGGGAGCTGCCGGTGGCAGAGGTCGTCCTTCAGCGCTGAGAGCCGGGCGAAGGGGTCCTGACGAGGGTGTCTCTTCTTCTTGCGGAGGCAGACAGCTTCGTCAGGTGACAGTACCTGAGAGCTGGGAGGGTGCTGAACCTGGGAGGCAGAGCCATCTGGGAAGGGGGGAGAGAAGGCAGATGGGACTGGAGCCAGCAGCAGGCAGAGCAGAGCGCTTTGCTTGCTGAAAAAGGGAGGTGACAGCAAGCCTGGCCCTGAACACGCAGCGTGGCAAGAAGGGAAAACGCTGGGCATCAGGGAAAATGAAATTAACACTCAAAATCCAAACAAATGACTAAATATGGGAGATGCATGGAAAGGACTTGGTTTGGAGGAGCAAAGGAGGGACAACCTGCAGGCAAGCAGCCCGGGGAGACATCCCTTTGGGAAGCAGGGAACAAGGGCAGCATCCAGGAACGGGCTTGGAGAACCCCAGTGCTGGAGCCGGCAGGGATCTGCCCAAGCTCTGCTCACAGCAGGACACAGGGAATGCCATTGGGGACCGTGGGGTCCTCGCACTCACTGGGTTGTTTTCTGGATTTCGAGGAGCCCTTGGATGACTTTTTGGGCTTCTTTATCCGCTGGTATTTCAGAGCTTCGAGCCTCTCAGGTGCAGCAGTGTCCCCGGGCGGAGATGGACGTTTTCTAGGAAGGAAAAGCAGACACGCGCCATCAGCGGCTCCCGGCCACGCTCGGGCCTCTGGGCGTCCCCGGTGGGGGATCGGCCGATCCCAGCTGGCTCTGCCGTGGAAAAGGAAGAGGTGAGAAACCCAGGGCCGAGGGAGCAGGGCCAGCCAGGTGTGCCAGAGCACGGGATGGAGGAAGTGAGGCGTCCCCGCTGTGCCCCTACGTCTCCTCCAGGTTTTCCAGCGGCACCGCGACCCGGCCGGTGCCACATCCAACGTGGGCATCCCCAGCTCACCTGCCTGCCATGCCAACACTGCTAGACAAAACAGGACGGGGCAGATCCTATGTCCGATAAGGCATTTCTGGGAAGTGATAGGAAACCCCTTGGGATGGAGAGAGAAGAGAAAGAGATAGGCAGAAGCGGCACGGCAGCATCGAGACGGGCACCACGAGCCACCCGGGGCGGACAACACCTGCACCACAAACAGCAGGGAGGCAGGATCCTGCTGGCCCTGCTCCCACAGCCAGAAAAACCAGGGGCCACACGACAGACAGGGACACCAAGGGCACAGACCAACAGAGCTGGGAGAGGTACCTCATTCCCAGGTCCCTGTGAGAAGCGACAACAGAAACGCGACAGCACAGGAGCATCTGCTCCTGGAACAGCGAGAGGCTGGGAGCTGGAAATGGAAACACTGACAAGGTTTTATTGCAAGGACAAGGAGGACGTTTGCAAAGGGGTGCTTCCTGCAGGAGAGCCAGCAGGTGCAAGGGATAGTTTATCAGCTGTACCCTCTGGGGAGCTCTTCTACAGGAACCAGCTCAAGGTGCAGTATCCTCCCCTTTGCAAAGAGATTTTTTGTTTTATTTCCTTCACTGTACCTGTTTTTCCCATCCAAGGCCTGGAAAGCACGACTGCTGTAGAGAGCAGAGCATTAGAGGAAAACCTTTTCCTTAGGAGAGCGGGCAGTCCAGCTCTTATCTATAGCACACCCCTTATCTATAGCATCCCCCCCTTCTTGCTGCTTTCCCATCTCCTTCCCCCTCTCCATTTTACTTCCACGACCCTCCAAGAGTCACCAACTCCTAATGCCACAGAAGCTGTCTGTGGCCATCTGGGATAAACCCAAGCCACTTGCAGACAAGGTGTCCAGAGAAGATTGGAAGCTTCCACAAAGCACCTTTCACTGCGATAAAGCCAACATTTTAAGCCAGGCTCCAATGAGGAAAGAAGATTTAAACCAGCCTGCTGGAACCCTTCAGAGGAGGAGATGATGCTCTTCTGCTTTGACAACTTGGTCACCAGGGGTCAGCAACCAAACCTCGTCACAGGAGCCACACAGAGGACAGTGCTGATGGCAGCTCCTGCATCCATCTGTGACCAGGGCAGTGATCAGCAAATCCCACAAGCCACGGGCAGCAGGAGGGCAGGAGGAGACACCTCAGCTGGCTGCATCCGTGCCTTCAGACTCCTGCTGGGGCACAGAACCACCGAGGATGATGTCCCCCTGTCTCTCAGCAAGGTGTGCCCCATCCAGCATTGCAAAAACACCGTGGCTGCTGGCAGGACAGCAGGGAAGGGGCGAGGACATGGGCTGGAGCACAGACCCTGCACTCCCGGGCTGTGGTACCAGAGTACACCCACCCACGGAGAGTCTGGAGCTCCTCATCTCCCCTGGGGTCCAGGCAGAGCCTGGCTGGCACTGAAGACACCTGCAGGCTTTTCCCTCTGGGTCCCCATGTGTGCAGAGCACAGTGTGACAGCAGCACTTCCCATCCGGCATCCCAAGGGTCTCCAGAGCATTGAAATTTCAGCTGGAGTGCACAGGCAAGGAGCTCCCAGGAGGTTTTTTCCCCTTGGGGAGCAGAAGGGGTTTTGGGTTTTTTTGAAGATGAGTGTGATTGCGAAGCTTCTCAGTTTTGCTGGCAGCACTGGAAAGCACCAAGGGAAGTGCAGCGTGAGGTGAAGAAGCAGCTGAGGCACAGCAGACGCAACAGAAACCCAAACACTGGGCACAGAAAAGCTCATTTTCATGTTTTCACTGGGCACAGAAAAGCTCCTTTTCATGTTTTCCAACGCAACAGAGACGTCAGGGTGCGGAGAGTTCCTGGAGAGCCTCTGTTCCAGCTCCCAGCAGAGCATCACATCAGCCAAAGATGAAGCAGCTCATTACACATGCCGGGAGTCCCGCTGGCTGGATCCAAGCTTTTCCTCATCCAGAAGACAACGTTTACATTTGCAGAGCTCAAACGCCTTCCCAAGTGCAATCAGCCTCTTGTGAGAGATGCTGCCAGCAGCAGCTCTGCCCTCTGAGCTGAACCAACTGAGCTTCAACCATGCTGGCTGAAGGCAGGACCGCAGTGACCCACAGGTCACAGCATGGCACTCCTTGCAGCAATTCCTGCTTGAATGGCCAATGACAGGCTTTTCCCTCTTACAGCCAACATTCTGTGGGGTGCAGATGAGTTGCATTCCATTAGCAGGTACTTGGCTAATGGTGACTTCAGCTGCTCCAGCTCCATCACCCACAGAGTTCAGGTGTGCCAAGCCCTGGAGAGCAATGAGCTCGGTGATCCTGCCACCATCCTGCCCACCAGCACCTGCCTTCCACCACCTCTTCCCACCACCCAGACAGCTTTTGCCACTGTTATTAAAGCTCAGCCTGTAAAAGTCTCTTTCTCTTTCCACTCTGTTTTCTTTCTAAGAAGAAGCTGTCGTGGCATGCTGACAAAATTAAACAGATTTACATGAGGGATTATGAGGAAATTGCCTGAAGCTCATTTCCACTAGTTCTCCATAATTGAACTCGTATTTATACACACAAACATAAACAGTGAGTGCACTGAACCCATGTGTCACCATAAATACTATCTGACCTCTGGCAAGGAAGGGATACAGAGGACAAAACGATGCTACTCAGCAGCCAAATTTTATCTGCTCTACCCACCCTTTATCTCTTCAAAGGGCGCCAATTCGTCCAAATTAATTTTCATTTTAAGCTCAGCCAAAAGCTTCTTCCTGCCCCCAGAGTTCACATATTGGGCAGCTGCCCACACACAAAGGAGCTCTTGAATACCAACAGATGAGACGTTTAGGGAGGTGGGCGAACTTCTTCTGGAAATTTCAGTGTAGAGCCAAGCAAAGGAGCTTTGAGAAGCCCACGTGAACTCCTGGCACCAACCTTCTGGAAGGCACCACCAACACCTGGAGCAGCAGCTTTCCTCGAGTCTTCAAAGGAAAACTCTTCTGCATGAGCAAGTGTCTGGACTGCATGGACTGGGAGGTACTGGAGAGGCCACAAAGGTACTGAAGGACCTCCAAGAGTCCCAGGGCAGGAAAAGGAAGTAGAGGAGAAGTATCCAGCCCAACACACATCACAGCTGCTCTTCTTCAAGTGTCCTTCCATGTACAAAGCAAAGATATGAGGGAGAAGACCCCTGAAATCATCCACTCTGAAAGGGAACCCATATAAAGGAAGGGTCCAGGAGATTCAAGGATACTATAGATAAATTCATATATATTTAACCTCATGGAGGTCTCAACACACCCTCCCTGTCTCCTCCTCTCCTTGAGCCAAGACATTGACATCCAGGAATCGTTTGGGCATGTTAGAGCATCCACTTGGATAAAGTAGAGTATCCACTTGAAAGGAGCCCACTGTGTCCTTCTACCCTTCATCCTCCTCACATGAAGAGCTCAGTTGTCCTACACAAGGCTCCTGCAAGTCAGAATTCCCACTCTGCTCCGAGGCTGCTGCCTCCATCCCGGAACGCTTCAGCACAAGAGGTGCCAGAGAAACACCGCGGTGACAGCCCCAGGCCAGGGCTGCTGCTGCTGCCAAGGCACCGCCAGGAGGGAGGGAGGAAGGGGCTGGTCACAGGAGGGAGCACACCAGAGAAGGGGTGCCCTTCTACAGGTCTGCAGACACCATAACTCATCTACACAACGGACTTCACCACCATGCTGACGGAGAGGAGAGAAGGCGAGGGAAACGGGGCCGGGCTGGACAGGAAGAGGGGGATACAGTCATGGGGACGGGGAGGGGAGAGAGGAAGATAAATGAAAAACAGGAGTGAGAAAATATATAAGGAAATAAAAGAGACTGAAAAGAAAAATAAAGTAACGATAATAATAATAATAATAATAATAATAATAATAATAATAATTAAGAAAGAAAAGAAAAACGCACTCAGACAAGCGGACTCACAACTTCTCCAAGCGGAAGGAGGCATGGAACACATGCAGAGGATCAGCACATGGACAGTCTTTAAAGGGGAACCTGTTTTCTTTCAAGCGGGGAGCGAGGGCTGCTGCTCCTCCCGCACGCCTGGCGCCGACGTCCCTTGGTCACTCAACGCTACGCCACTGCCAAGCCCCCCAGCTCCCTGCACTGGCAGAGCTGCCCCGGCAAGGGGGGCCCAGGGAGGCCACCCAGGGCAGGCTGCCGTGCCAAGGGGCAGGGGAGCTTGGTGCCTTGTCTGTGGTTTTTGGGTTTCCCTCTGCAGGGAGACGACAGCCCCCTTTTCCCTGTTCCAAGATGCGCGCTGCATCCTAGGAGAAGATGGGAGAACTCCTTGCCTGGCTCAGTAACTGCATCATTTATCTCTGCCCATCCATAAAAACTACCTGAGCTTCACCTAGCAAAAGCCACCATGCTGCAGCAGGGAGCTCACATGCTGCTTCTCCTTCTCCTCTCAGATTCCAATGCTGCAATAGAGAAATCTGGCTGGCCTGGTATAAAATCCCTGTGCTCTGCATGCACTGACAATTTTATGACCCCAAATCATCAAGAAATTACTCGGCTGGGCTCTCTGCAGGATTCCTTGCTTATTGAAGTGAGATTTATTCTTCTGGTTTCCCCTTTTTGGGGATAATGACTCCGGAGTTGTCCCTGTGACTGCAGCTCCCAGCAGCATCCTGGAGTAGGACACGCGGCTGCTCCCACCCTGCTGGGCAGTGTCACCTGCTCCTCAAAATCCATCAGCCCACGGCAGCCAGCACTGGGGCCAGCCAGGACCTGAGAAAGAGCCACACCAAACTCAGACATGAGCCTGGACTCACCTCTGCTGTGCTAAAGCCATGACTGCTCGTGTCCCTAATGCTGCCAGAGCAGGGAAATGTCACAGAGCAAGAACAAACAGCCACATCCTCTCTGCGGGCTTCCCCATTTCCCAAAAAGGCTGGCACAGCCCAGATCTCACCAAGGCTTGGTGCCAACTTTGCTCCTCACGGGATGCCCTGCTCTGGGATCAGCAAGGAAAAACAGAAGGAGAAGGCAGCCAAGTGCTCAAGAGATTTGGAGGCTCGAACAGGATGGGTTTTGTCATGCCAAGAGGATGGCTCCTCCATGGACCACACACATCCAACACCCCCTCCTCACCAATCCTGCTCTCCCCACCCCAGGACAACCCTCCAGGTCAGCTGGAGGAATTCCCCTCTCCTGGAAACCTCTCCCTGATTTCTCTAGGCATCCCACCTCTCTCTCATGAGGCTCTTTCCCAGCCCAACAAGGCTCCTCAGGCTGTTGGAGAGAATCAGCCAGAACCTTGACTCTTCCCAACCAAGGCAGCAAAGCTTTACTTTTTGTAAGACCTGCCCTAAGGAAGTTTGGGTATGGCCATGCCTTTAGAAACAGGCCCATCTACAATCCCATCTCTGCTTTCACAACCAGCCTGGCTGATGGCCAAACAGGTCAGTGCTGCCAATCCTCTGGGTCACAAATTACTATTATCCCATCTGGATTTAGCAGTTTTAGTGATGTTCTTCTGCTTCTAAGGTCTGAAAACCATCTCCAGATTACTCCATCCCAGTTCCAGAAATGCCCATGGCTGTCTAGGAAACCAGCCCCATGAAGGCAGCCCAGGAGGAATTTTCTTGGAAGAGTCTTTCAAGATCTGCTTAGGGCAGATTATTTACAGCTGGGTCAGAAGAAGTCAAAGATTTCTCCAAGGAGTATTTCAGGTATGGAAGGATTTTACCATGACTACACCTGTGGTGGGAAGGAAAAAACACGTTTCTGGCAGCCTGAGACCATAGTTCTGCTGCTGCCAAGCATACAATCCATCTTGGGAGAAAGACTTTTCCCATTTTCTGTGATTGAGGAGACTCGGGAGAAAGAAAACAAATCCAGACTCTGCTGGAAACAAAATTCTCCACGTGCTGGACTGCAGCTGGAGACTGATTTTTGGAGCCCACTCTGAGCAGGCTGTCTGCAGCTGGCAGCTCCAGAGGTGGCTGTTTTTCCTGACTTCAGGGGTTGGCTGTGGGCTCCTCCTGGTTTGGATTATCCAGGACAACCCCACCTCAACACACACCTCCCTAACACCACACAGCCCTCGTGCACCCTGCCAGGGCCAAAAGTGCCACGTGTGTCACCAGCCCCCAAGAAAGGAAGGGTGGCCCAGGGAGACGGCAGCTCGGCTCATCCCAAACCCCAGCCCCCAAGGCAGGGGAGCAGCGTGTGCTGCTGGGAGGGGAAACCCAAAAGCCACAGAGACTGTGCGTCCAGAGGTGTTTCCTAGTGTTTTCACATTCCTTATTCCCCTTTAAAGGAAGAGATGGTATTGGAAAAGCCCCTTCCGTGTCCCCTGTCATGCCCCGCTCCCAGCCACCCTCCACAGCACCCACACCATCCTTTCGGACATGGATCACCCTTACCTATTGAGCTGAGGAGAAGCTTGTCTCGACAACACTGCCCAGATAGCTGAGATTAATCAAAAACAAAGCAGTTATCAACACCCGCAAGGAGCCGAGCTCCGCAACACATCAGCACGTCAACAACTCCAAAGGAAAAAGGAGGGAAAGAAACCAAACTGAAACACAAACGAAACGAGGCTGGAGAAGAAAGGGGGAAAGAAACAGAAGAGAAAGGAAAAGAAGAAACAAAAACGATAATCAACAAAGCGAATGGATACACTGCATAAAAGCACGGACAACAGTGCTGCTCTAACACGGCTCTGTCCTGGAGCTGGCTCTCCTTGGCATGCCCTGCTAGACACATGGACCTGTGACTACATCCCTGACTGCATCGCTCCGTAGCTGGGTTTTCCAGAGGCACACAGAAGTCATTTCAGGCTCATCCAGCTGCTCTCCCTCCCCATCCTCTCTCCCCTGAGCCCTCCTTCCTTCCGTTCAGTGCCAGAGGGATTTGCTAAGGCCATAACGCTTCCAGGTACCAGAGGGCGGGAGTGAAATGCGGAGGGCACTGCGGGGTGAAACGCTGCCTCCCCCCTCCCCAGAACACAGCCTCTCCTCCGAACGCCTCCGACCGCGCCGGCTCCGCGGGGCCGGGAGCCCCGGCCCCCGACTCCTCTCTGCCACAAGCCGGAGGAGGGGGCTCGACCCCACCAGACAAGAAGCCAGAATGAAGCGAGACGAAAGGATGGGACGAAAGCACGGCTACGGGGTCTAAGGTGCTGTGAAAGACGGAAGGAAAGAGGAGAAATAGAGAAAGAGAGAGAAAGAGAGAGAGAGAGACGCTTTTGCCTGGAGCAACCCTGGTACCTGGAAAACCAGCCGCTACTGTCTAGTGCAGCCACTTCCCTCTTTAGGGCAGGATCTGAGCGTGCCGGCAGCCTCCCGATCTCCGCTGGGCTTAGTTTATTTTTATTTTTGCTCCTCTCCTGACATGCTGCTGGTGTGGCTAAGTCCTTGATCTCTCCCTGCCCGCGTCCTGGGGCTGCAGCATCCCTTTTGCAGGTGGGGCGGTGACCGTGATAGCTGTTTCTGTCATGCATTAAAGCTCTCTAGACTCCGCGGGAAGGAAGAGGAGGAGGAAGACAGAGGCGCGGCGGCGGCGGCCCTAACGTTCGAAGAAAGCCAAGAGCCAGCAGCTAGAAGAGGAAACAACCTCCAGTGACACCAGGACACTTACCTAAGCGAGCCAGGTCTTTGTACACCTGGTAGACGGCCCGTAGCCCGAGTTCACGGCGCTCCCAGATTCCCAAGGGACCGGGAAGGTCGCCTGCCTAAAACCCAGCGCTCTCGGGCGGCGGCCATGCAACCCGTGCCCGTGGCACCAGCCTCTGCCTAGCAAAGCCCGCGGGACGCCGGTCTCCAAAAGGGATGCTGCAGCGTGCCCAGAGAGACCCTACCAGTTGGGATGGTGATGGCAGGGAGGGAGTCAGAGGGAGCGGGTAAGGCAGGGTGGGGGAAGCCAGGAAGGGGCTGGGAGTGGGGGGGGGGGGTGGTCACCATGGGGCTCACGCACTTACCCTGTGGCGGCTACCGTGGTGGTGGATGTCGGCTCCGGTTGGAGAATCTCCTCGCCAGCCCTCCTTGGAGAAGGGATGTCTCCGAAAACATCCATGGTGTCCACGGGCAGGGAGGAGCCCTGGGAGTTGGAGAAGCCGGTGCCCACGGGGGTGAAGGCGGTGGTCGGTCGGAAGCTGGGGCTGTCCCCACGGCTGCTCGGCGCCGGAGATCCCGTGGAGGACGGCGTGGATTTGCGGGAGAAGCTGACGGCCGCGGGCGGCTGCAGCGTGATCTCCGACACCTCCGCCTGCTGGATGAGCCCCGGGCGGGGCCGGGCGCGGGCAGTCAGCTCCGGGGAGCTGTTGCGGGAGCTCAGGGGACTTTGGGTCAGAGGAGAAAGCCTTGAAGGTTGTAGCACCACCTGATGTAAACTGGGCTCAGCCCTCCTGACCTGCCGAGGGCTGGGCCGAGGTCGGGGTTGGGGCTCGTACCACCTGGTGTCCAGGCTGAATGTGCTTGTGCCGCTGGGGCCGACGGGCTCGGACGGTTCGTGGTAAGGCAACACGGGTATGCCCATACCTTGGCTGGTATGTCTTAGCTGCCCTTGACATCCCATGGGTTGCATAGGTTTGTCCTGCCACTTGGTGGTAGCGGGCACGGAGGATTGACCCCTGCCCGGTGACTTGCCGGTCCAGCTCTTTGGTGCCTCCAGGGGCAGGATGCCCGAGTAGGATGCGGGGACCACCTGGAGGGAGGAGGGTGGTGGCCCCCGAGGAAGGCAGCCCGTGGGCTGGGAGCCCTCGGCCGCCTCGCAGGGCTGGAGCTGGTGGGGGAACGGCGCGGGGGCCAGCTCCAGGCTGCCGAAGGGGAACTCGGCCCTGCCCCAGGGCTCGGGGGACCGGCCCCCCGTGGGGGTCTGGGCCAGGGGCAGCGTGCTGTTGGAGGCATTCTCCCCATTCTCCTCGGGGATGGTGGGGTGTCCGAAGGGCCCCTCGGGGGGCAGCGGTGGGGAGGACATGACTGAGCTCAGCGGGCTGACTTCTGGCATGTAGAAGGGCGGCGGGTCCACCTCCCCGGGGCTGCTGCTGCTGAGGTAACCGTAAAACTGGTGGTGGAAAGCCCGGGGGGCTGGCGGGCGGGCCTGGCCGGTGGCCTGCAGGGCACCAGGACCCTCCAGCGCCCGGTGGAACCGGGGGCTGTATGCTGGTGGCTGAAGGTAGGACTCCTGGCTGGAGGAGAGAGGGGTGAGCTGGGCTTTCAGGGCGGTCACGGAGGTGGGGACGACGGGGTCGTCGTTCTCCTCGTCCGACTGCCTGAACTCGGGGTACATGTCCGTCTCCTCCACGAAGGGGAAGCCCTCGATCCGCCGTGTCTTCAGGGAGGGCTCCATCTCGGCCGGGTCCATGACGAAGCGTCCGTCCGGCCCGCGGCTGATGAGCTCGATCGGAGTGGTGGCCTCAGCTTCGGCCTCTGCCTTGGAGACGCTGTACTTCTTGCTGCTGATGGCTCGTTTGGTCTTCTTGTAAAGGGAGAGCTCCTTCTCCTTGGTGGGGCTCAGCATCCGCTTGGCCTGAGGGCCCTGGTCGTCAGAGGACTCCGAGGGGGGACGGAGAGTGCGGATGCTCTCGGGACTCACCTTGCCGGAAGACAACCTGGACCACAGGGGAGAAAAACCGAGAGAGGGGACGGTCACCTGGGGAGGAAAGGAGCCCTTCCTGCCCAGAAGAACAACTCTGGATCCGGGAAACAAAGTGCTACCAGCTCTCAAAAGAGGAAGAACCTCTGGGAGAAATTGGCAGGGGCTAACCAGGATGGCAGAGTCTCACCAGCGGCAGTGCACAGCATCCCTGCTCCTTGGGAGGGCAGCTCGGAACACTCGGGGCTGAAAGTTCACACCAACACCTTGCAATAAGCTCCACCAACACCCCAACACTTCACAACAAGCTCCACCAAGACCTTGCAACAAGCTCTACAGCCCCACAAGGAAAAAAAGACACACCCAGAGCTCGCTTCCAACTCCTTCTGGGCTTTCTTATGTCCACCTGAGCTATACATGCCCAGGAAAGGCCCTGAGAAGAGGGACATCAGGCAAATGTTCCCTCCCACAGAACTCAGCATCTCACTTGGAGATGCTAACGGATCATTTCAGACCAACTCTTTCTCCCATTATCAACACTCAGACTTTAGGCTGAGCATCTCAAAAGGCAGAGAGCACCAGGACAGTTCCCTCATCCCTATCCAGAAAGCCTTGAACAAACAGGATTGAGAGGCAAAAGACAGCAGATCCAACAGACAGTGCAGGTTATTTCAGAGCACTGGATGAACTGAAAACAAGTAAGATTCAGATCCACCAGCACCAGGACATTTTCCAACAGTTGAGGAGCCAAAGAATGAGGTGTCCACATCCCAGACTCTTGCACTCCCACCGGGAAGATGCTCCTGCTGATTTGCAGCTACACATGCTTTTGATGGGCTCTGCAAGGAGCTGTGGCTTCTGCAGCACCCCAATCCACCACCTTTGGGCACATGTGGAAAGAGGCTTCAGCAGGGCACTCTTCAGGAGAAAAGATGAATTTCCCAGGAAAAAAAGAGCCAACAGAGAATGACTCAAAAACTACACTGAGCTGGCAGGAAGGACTCCATATGTAGCAGGCTAGTCCTTGTCCTAAGGAGCCTCTTCCAGCTGGTGTGGAATTGAGTTCCATCAGCCAACTCCAGCTTTGGAAAGTGTTCACAGATCCAGCGGGGTCATCTCTTAGCTCAGCTTGCTGCATTTGTCCCTGCTGCTTCCTGCTCCAAAGCCCATTTGTCTCTTGTGAACTGCTGTGTTCCCAAAAGTTCAGGGAACACTCAAAAACAACTCATCAGGAGCACCAAATAAGGATGAGACATTTCCATTTGAGCTTTGCAATGACTGTAGGAGGGAGGCACCTTGAAGACCCTCACAGCCTGGTGCCACAGCTAAGACAGATACTTACGGGGACTCCAAACTCTTCCTGCAGTGGGTTATCGAGAGAGGAGGGTCTGGAAGAGAATAAAAAGGGGAAAGAAGAGAGAACGCTGAGGAGGCGCAACACGACAGAGACAAGACACACTCAACATCACGACAACAAAAGACACTCAACAAGAGGCCAAGGTTTCATTGCTCCAGTGCTTTAATGGTTGCTGACAACAAACAGCTCCCGTCACAGGGTCCTGCCCGTCCTGCTGCCACAGCCCCACAGGCTGGAGGAGACGGAGCCACTTCCCTGCCCTCTCCAGCTCCCCAGCCGCCCTTTTCCCTACCAGCCACTCCTGCATGGAGGCTGCAGTCCCAGCTTTTGGGAAACACAGCAGCAGGGTCTCCTTTGGGGTCTTCTCTAGCCCAGCACTGCCCGCTCCATGCTGGGAGCAGCTGGAGAACCCAGCTCCAGGGTGACCTGGAGCAGGTGAGCAGTGCCCCCCGTCTGCATCCCAGAGGACAGCCCAGCCTAAACCCCCGGCTCTAGGAGTTATCACCGCGTGGGAGAGCTCCCTCGGAATTCCCAGGCTAGTTTCTCTGGCGCCTCTTCACCCACCCTGCCTCTCCCGCTCCCGACCGCGGGCGCTTTCAGGCACAGCCGAGGGAGGAAGTCAGGGCTTCACCTGAGGACGCGCACGGACGAAGAAGAGACAGACAGGGAAGAAGGTTACGACCACAACACAACCAGGGGGCAGAAACGAGGGGGAGACAGGAAGGAGGGAGGAAGCGCACCGGGAATGGACTCACCTTTCTTGCGCTTGAGCTTGCGTTTGCGTTGCTTGTTGACGAAGCAGGCGGCGAGTGTGCTGAAGAGGATGGCAGCAGCCAGGAAGCAGATGGTGGCAACGATGCCAGCCAGCACCGGGCGGGCTAGGCCCTCGTCCGTCAGGTCAGGCTGAGGAAAAACATCTGGGGAAAAACACAGTTCAGTGTTACACGTGCTGCCTTCCCCAGGGAGCTGCCACAGCGTGGAGGCAGTGATAGCCTGCAGGAATGATAATCTCTGTAAAGACCCTGCTTCCAAGCCAGCCCACCCAGGGAGAACAATCAGTGCTGCTTCAGGGCCAAGGGAGTTGGTGATCTCACACCAGATCACAGAAGCATAAAATAGTTTAGGTTGGGAAGGGCTGTTTAAGGCTGTCTAGCAGGGACATCTTCAACTAGATCAGACTGCCCAAACCAACCTGATAAATCTTTCAATGTTAGCTGGTGGATATCCAGGGAAGAAGCCTCCACACCAAACAAATACATACGAACACACACAACTGCAGCAAACCTGCAGTCACCTCCTGGCTGAATAACCTGCTGCAGCAGCACAAGGCATTTCAACCTCTTTGTCAGGGCTTCATTTCAGCATTCCAATGAAAACTGGGCTGCAAACCCTTTGCTCAACAGGAGCACGTGTGAAGCCCCAGCAGACCTCAGCTGTGAGCACATGCAGACGTGCACCCTGCACACCTCGGTGCTCCTGCCGTGTGCCATATCCAGCATCAGCGCATTCCCCCACGGAGCTTTCAGCCTGGCAGAGCAGCTGCCTGGGGCCGGGCACCTGCCAAACCCCATCAGAAAACCTGGGCGTGAGGAGCAAGGGCAGCGAGCAGGGAGGCTGCAGCAAGCTCTCCTCACCACACCGGCACCACATGGGGGCAGAGAGAGACCGCGGCATTGCAGCACAGCCGAGCCGGCTTTTCCACGAGAGCCAGAAAATCCGGGCTCGCCCCATCCCCATCCCTTCCTGCTGCCCTCGCCTTCCCAGCGCCATCACAACCCTGCTCCGCCTGCCCCTGGCTCGAGGAGCATTCTCAGCGCTGCATGTGCAGGGAGAACACGCACGAACTGCAGCACGTTGCAGCCTCCCTGCTTGCAAAGCCCTTTTCCCTGTGGACTCTGCACTGCAGTGCTACGTTTCCCTCTCTCCACCTTTCATTCCCGCTCCCCGGCTGCGCCAGTGCCCGCTTGGAGCTTTGTTCTCCAGGCTCGCCGCAGAGCCGGGGCGGGCTGGGCTCGGCGATGCTCCGGGGATTTGTCCTCACCTGCTCCCATCGGGGCAGCCTGGGGTCAGCTCAGCACAGCCATGACAGCCCTGCACCCCTCCCTCAGCCCGGCTCACAGCCCCACAGCCAGGGGGAGAAGAGGAGAGGAGCCAGCCCTCACCTGTGCTGGACACGCCAGCGACGTTGCTGGGTTCGCTGATGAGATCCTGCATGACCGCCAGCACGCGGAACTCGTACCAGGTGTCCTGCAACGCCAAACACACCTGTCAGGGCCCCCACACAGCCTCCAGCCTTACCAGAACCTCCAACATCCCCATAAAACCTGTCAGGATCTCTCGCAGCTAAGAGTGACCCTGAGAAAAGTGTGAAAGTCTCTTTTCCCAGCCCGGCGCTTGAAGAAGGAGTCGGGGCTCTTCATTTCTTGGTCCCAAGGTTGTTTCTGGTTCTTTATCTATAAAATTCTTTGTCCTGTCCTGCTGAGGTCTGCTTAGCAATCTGCCTGCCCCCAGGGCGGTGTTATGTCTTTATACTAAAAACTACCTGTACAATGTTTACAATTACTTTCCAATACCTATCACCTATGTTAGACAGTGAGCTTCTACTCTAAACCAATCCAAAAGTGTCAACATCACAGCAGAAGATGGAGGCCAAGAAGAAGAAGGAGAAAGGCAGGACATGCCCAGATCCCTCCATCTTGCCCTCTGAACCCCCATTCTAGAAAACCCCAAAATCTACTTTTTCACCTTGTGATAAATTCACTATCATTCTACTTAATTTTTTGTGGCTTGCAGATCTTATCTAAGGTTGGTAACTTGCTCCACAGGTCATAATCAAAACCACAGGGGCATCTTGGGCTCTGTGCCAGGGTCTCTGAGCCCCCTGGCAGGGTCTTGGCTGCTCAGGACAGCCAGAGGGATGTCCTGGGTTCCAACAAAAACCCTCTAACAACACCTTTTTAATGTTAGCAAGCCAGGCTTTTATCCTTGCCCAGGGGGTGTGTGGCCATTTTGTGTGGTCAACCAAAATTCTGGCCTCCACCCAGGCACAGATACAAAACTTTTTCATCTATTTATACGCTTTCATCAAACAAAAATTATTGTTCATTGGTTCCAAATGACACAATTCTCTTTCATTAATTCGTATTCTATCCTCTATTGGTTATCGATTTCTCGCTTCTTATGCTAATTAGTGCATATTTTTAGTATCTTTTTCCTCCTGTAGGGACTTTCTAATGTACACTGAGACTTTGTTAGTCTCTTTAGCTTCTGCTTTCTGCAAAATGTCCTTGTGGTCCATTAATCCTACATTCCAACCTCAACAACACATCCTTCTCTCCCAGGTTTTGTTCATTGAAGCATATCAGAGTGGCTTTAGTAAAACTTTAAGTCTCAGTCATTTTCTCAAGCTGTGTTCCTACAGAAGTAGCTTATAACAACTTTATACAAATGCTGGCTAAGAGTAATTGAAGAGTAACACACTATTTATCATTTTTATGCATATTGATTGTGATTACTTAATACCATTAATTAAAATTATTAAAGCGTTCTATCTTGCCCAGCTCCTTGATCAAACCACTCCAAAACTTCCCCGGAGCTGCAGCAGATGGTGCAACATTATCACAGAGCCATGAAGGCTGGAAAAGATCACTCAGCTGGGCTTGGTGTGGGCAGCCAGCCCCTGCTCACCTGGGACAAGTCCTTGGCGAAGAACTCGCTCTCGGAGCCCGGGATGCCGTCATCCAGGATCTCCCACTTCTCCGCCACGCGGAACTCCATGATGTAGCGGTCGATGGGGAAGCTGTGGTTGGCGGGAGGGAGCCACGACAGGAGGACGCCTTGCTGTGTCCGGTTGGCTGTTAGGCACCTCGGTGGGGTAACCAACACCAGAGGCTCTGGAGTTGTTACAGGGAATGCTGGGGGCAGAGCAGAAGGGACAGGGACACCTCTGAGTTGGGGCAGGGCAAGCGCAGGAGATTCTCTTCCACCCGTGCCCCCAGCAGCAGCAGAAGTGTGGGAATCCACCAAATCAGAGGGGTTTTGGGAAAGCTGCAAAAGGCAGGCCTCAGAGACAGCAGAACTGTGATTGGAGCTAAGCAGCAGCCATGAGATAGGTCAGCAGAAAAATTATTTAAAAAGTAGAAAAGCAAGGACAAATAGAACAATGGTCTGTGTAGTAACGCTTGTCTAGAATAACTCTCTAAGCTACAGAAAGTTTATCTAGCAAGATACTAGGAAGTTTGAAGCTTAATAATGGAGCTCTGTACATTGTGTTTTAAGGCTTACAAGTAGATATTATATTCAAAATAAGCAAGCATTGCTTTAACCACAGGTACGTGTGCTTATGGTGGTTGGATAGCACTACTGTCAATGTGCTTTTGCTGTGTGTGATTGGTCAAAAAACTTATAAAGTAAGTTGTAACATTAAGTTCTTAGTCTGCTGCCTGAGATGTGAGCTGGTGGCATCTTCCCATTGTCATAACCATGTAATGAGACTGATGCTGGAAAATCAAACAGCTCAAGGCACGTTCCACAGCAGTCCTGTCCTGTTTGTGATTTGTACATACACCCCTGGCTGGCGATAAGAAGGACCACTGTGGCTGTTCCCACATTCCAGGAGTTTAGGGCACCTCTTGGGAGTCTGGTCTCTTATCACAGAAATAGAAAAGTGGATTTTCAAAAGGCACTGGACTAATGAGGCCATGACTCCAGGTCTTCCTGCTTCCTCCCACCACCACCTGAGAGCCCAAAGGCTCTGAGCTCTAACAAGTTATCTCGTGCTCTATTAATACCTCCTGATCCCAGCTGAACTTAAGGAAGATCTGAAAGGTGACTGGCACAGTACAGCTCCCCCAAGCTGTCTCTCAGGATAAGCCTTCCAAAGCCTCGTGCATCCACCAAAATCTGCAAGCTTCATCCAGGACCCTCCACAAACTATCCCCTACATGGCTGGAAACCATTGCTGATGATGTTCATCTCCATCTCCATCTCCAACAGACAGGAAACATGGAGAAGGCAACACAGAGCTCCCAGATCCCTCTCCTGTTCCCAAGGAGGACTTACCTAGAGTGTTCACAGTGACCACCTCACTGAAGGAGCTGGTGCCCAGCTTGTTTTGAGCCAAGACACTGAACTGGTAGGCAGTCTCTGGTTCCAAGGTATCCACCAGCAGCCAGCTGGAACCAGCTGGCACAGGGAGAGACAGCCAGTCATGGGGTCCAAACTGGGCTCTCTTCATCCTGCCAAGAGAAAAGGGAGCATCCTCAGGGGAAGGTGTCTTTGACAGGGAGGACAGAGAGGCAGCATTAACTTCTTATGCAAAAATGGAGCTTTCCTGAGCGATGGTTTGGCTTGACAGCAGTGATGTGGATGGACATGGGGCAGCCACTCACCACCCACGAGCTGGCAGAGGACACCATGCCCTGGTGTCCCACCAGCTCTCAGGGGCACTGCCACGAGCTCTCCCCTCTGCCCTGAGCTGGGCCAGGGATAACAGCAGTGCCAACAGCCCCGCTCTGACGTGATCTTCCCATGGGCAAAAGTGGGAGCTGGAGCATTTTGGTGAGTGCTGCAAAGGGAACGGCTGACGCAGGAGACAGGCCCTGTTCCCATTTATACCTCGACATCTCCTGAGCCAGAGCCAAGTTCTCCCTCAGCTGTAGCCCTGTACATGTCATCCCACGAGAGACATTTAACTAAATCCCCATCTCTGCCACATTTGCACAAGTCGGGGGCTGCCAGCACAGCCTGGGGCACCACTCAGGGTTTGGCAGAGCAGCAGAGGCACTGGCAGGGAGTGCAGGACAGAACCTTTCTGCTGGGGTCTAACCACAACCCCAGGGTGAAAAATGCCCCCAGAGCCATCCCAGTGCCACCTCCAGAAGCCATTAATCCCACCAGGATCCCACATCCCAAAGCAGCACCACTGCATGACTACCATACTGCTCGTGTTAGATGATGTTTTAGGGAGTCTGAGCCCTCAGCTGCAGGTTTTGGTGGTGTCCTTGGAAAATTTGGGAAGGATTGGTGCAGATGGTCTGTCCTGCACAGGTAAGGGGGCACATCTGCAGTTACCAGCACACAGCCAGGTGAATCCACCCAGCAGGAAAAGATGAAGGAAAGAGAAATACTGCTGCTGTCCAGGGAGCAGAAAGTGAGGCAGAGAAGCAGCAGCAAGCCATGGAAACGAGCAGGTCTGTGGAGAGCCATGCATGTGCTGTGTGCCTCTGCCAAACCCAGGGAAAGCCTCTGGAACACTGCAGCTCCAGCTGGGACTGCAGATCCCAGCAGCCCCCTCCACTCTGGCAGAGGCAGGAGGGCAGCAGGGCAGCCCCTCTCCTGGGCAGTCTCCCTGCAGTGTTTAATCCCACTGCCCTCACATCCCTCCTCCCTGGCACTGCTGCAGGCAGGGACACACGAGAGAGGGGCTGAGGGTGGGGAAAGCAGGGGGTAAATGCAGCACTGAACTGGGAGAACCCCCTGGCTGAGGGAGGACGTGGTGCAGCTGGGATGCTGTGCTGGCCCTGGCCACCCTGGGGACAGGGGTTTGCATTTCCAGCCTCAACAAAGGCAGAGGCAGGAGGAGAGCACGAATCCAGAGAAAATGGAGCCTTGTTTTGCTCGAGCATCCCACAGCCACAGCAGGGAGGAAAGCACATGGATGGCACTCTGGGTGGCACTGCATGAGCCAGCTGTGCCCCAGATGCCCCGGATGCCCAGGGAACAGCACATCCCCCAGGGATCACACCCTAGGGTCAGGGCAAGGCAGGTCACTGCCTCCCTATCCTGCGTCCCCACAGCTCCCTGTGAATTCCTTAATGCAAGCTTGGTGCAAACACCCTTCCCTGCTGGCTGCTCTCTCCCTGTGGAGTCTGGAAGAGCCACGAGGAGGCAGGAATCTGAGAGTAGCTTGCAGAGCAAGAGCAGCAGCAGCTGCTGATGCAGCCAGAGCAGAGAGGTTTAACCATTCCTTCCCAAGGACATTTTCATCAAAGCAAGGTCTGCACTGCTCAGCTTGCTCCCTCATTTCCCCTCTCTCTGTTCAATCCATTCCTTCTTTCCATCTCCAGACAGACAGCCCAGCCTCAGGCTGGAGCAGAGCAGAAATCATTACAGGCAGCATCTCCCTCTCTCCTCTCTATCAGCAGCCTCCATCAGGGCAAATTAAGGCAAGGAAAGAAGGAGAGAGCGAGAGAAAAGGCTGAAGAATGCCAGCCTAGGCCTGGAAAGGGAACACATCACCCCCTCCACATTTCCAAGGATGATTCTTTATAAGAAGATGACAACAGCAGAGCCCAAAGTAAACCCCAGCCCTGCTGCAGCTACATTTCTCCCTCCCCTGCCCCAGGGGAAAGGCACAGGGCTGAGCCTGGCCCTGCTGCAGGAAGGTGGGATGCACCTGGGTGCTGGGAGCACAGGAGCTATGGGAGCAAAGCCCCAGTGCCAGGATCTCACAGTGGCTGGTCATGATCTCAGCTGGGATTTAACCACCCCCAGGGAGCCACAGAGCAAGGAGAGAACATTTCTGCTTAGTCACAGCTCTTCCAGGACACACTCTCTAAAGGTTGCATTTTCCATCCTCTCCCTGGCTGTTAAGCCTCATAAACAGTTTATCATGAAATTAGATGCCAGAGGCACAGCTACACGAATGCAAAGCATCTCCTGTGTACCACAAGCAGAGTAAAACCTGCTGGGGCAGACAGAGGCAGTGGCCAGCACAGAAGGGAGAGGAAATACAGGAACTGCACGATCCCACCACCACCACCACCACCACCCATCTGTCAGAGGAGCCCTGAGGGAGCTCAGCCCTGCAAGGCCCACGGGCACAGAGCTGGGCACAGAGCTGGGCACACCACCCTCCCCACCCTCCTCCCCCCGGCTGCTCCAAGCTCGGGTCGGCTAGGAAGGAAAAGAAGCAGAGAGCAAAGCATGCCAGGATGACTCACAGAGGGCCGTACCAAACTGAGAAAGTCTGCTCGTATCCACCATCATAGCCGGGCTCCCAGGACACGTTGGCTGAGGTCATGGCGGCCACCACGTGCACGCTGGTCGGGGCGTGAGGGCTTGTCCCTGCACAGAGAGGGGACAGCTTAGAGGGGAGCAGCACCACGGCTGCAAGGGGTCTTCTCCCAAAACACGGCCTGAGGGGACTCCTCTTGCACCAAGCCAATGGCTGTCACAGACATCTTTTATGGAAAAGCCTTTCCTTAGGATTTTTCCTCCTGAGAAGCTGAGAGGCCTCAGGAACAACATGTAAACAATGGTTATCTGCTGCTGTGGAATGCAACAGGTGGGTCTGTGATTGGCCTCATGTGGTTGTTGCTAATTAATGGCCAATCACAGCCCAGCTGGCTCAGACCCTCTGTCCGAGCCACAAGCCTTTGTTATTCATTCTTCCTTTTTCTATTCTTAGCCAGCCTTCTGAGGAAATCCTTTCTTCTATTCTTTTAGTATAGCTTTAATATAATATATATCATAAAATAATAAATCAAGCCTTCTGAAACATGGAGTCAGATCCTCATCTCTTCCCTCTTCTTCGGACCCCTGTGAACACGGTCACAAATGGCCAAGGCCATTTCTGCTGGAAATGGCAGAGGGCAGGTGGCCATAATAGCACAGAGAAAGGCAACTCCAGCAGGAAATAACATTTAAAGGAGACACTGCTCTTAGAATCATAGAGTGGTTTGGGTTGGAAGGAATTTGAAGGGACAGCTACTCAAACTCTCTTGACATGGGCAGGGACACCTTCCAGTAGACCAGGTTGCTCCAAACCCTGTCCAATGTGACCTTGAACACTTCCAGAGATAAGGCAGCCACAGCCTCTATGCCAGGGCCTCACCACCAGGTTGCTCCAAACCCTGTCCAATGTGACCTTGAACACTTCCAGAGATGGGGCAGCCACAGCTTCTGTGCCAGGGCCTCACCACCCTCAAAGGGAGGAATTTCTTCCCAATATCATAGAGTGGTTTGGGTTGGAAGGAACTTGAAGGGATGGCTGCTCAAACCCTCCTGACATGGGCAGGGACACCTTCCAGTAGACCCCATTGCTCCAAGCCCTGTCCAATGTGACCTTGAACACTTCCAGAGATAGGGCAGCCACAGCTTCTGCGCCAGGGCCTAACCACCCTCAAAGGGAGGAATTTCTTCCCAATATCCCATCTAAACCACCCGTCTCTCAGCTTAAAGCCACTCCCCCTTGTCCTGTCACCTGTGGGGAGCATGCCCACCTCCTGCCTTGCCCGGGGGGCTCTCCCCAGGCCCCTTTTTCCCCCCCTGCCCGTACCTACGACGGTCAGGTGGGTGCTGGCAGTAATGCTCGCGACGATGTTGGTGGCGACGCACTCCCACTCGCCGTGGTCGTCCTTGCCGAGGGAGCGGATCTGCAGGGTCCCGCCGGGCAGCGTGTTGTGCTTGCTCCTGCTGGGCTTCCCTACCTTGGGCAGGGAGCGGGGTGGGGGGAGCCAGGCAAAGAGAGAAAGAACAGGACTCAGCAGCGGGCGGTGGGGCAGGGCGAGGCGGCGGCGGGGTCACTAAGCTACCTGCGCGGCCCAGGGGACACCGCCGGCCACCGGCAGGGGATCCGGGCTCTCCGGTCGTGGCAAGGCAGACGGTTCCCCCGTTTCCGAGAGGACCTGGGGGGCAACGCGAGAGGCATGCGTCAGGAGGCTGCTGGCAGCGCTCACACACCAGCGGGAAACCCCACGGCACTCGCACGGACAGCGAGCCCCGCGCCAGGGCTCAACCTCCGGCATCCAAAGCTGAAACTGCTGCAAGAACGGGCACTGGATATCCCAGCAAACCCCCTCCCGGGATGGGGAAGGCACAGGCTGCCCCAGGAGATGCCCAAACTGCCCCTCAGCCTCAGTTAGCAGCAGATGAGAGGCAGGACCCTTCGCATCAGAGTCTGGGCAGCAAGGGTCCCGTGGGGATGTGGGAGGATGGCGTGCGTGGAGGTGCCTGGAATCTCTCAAGCCGAGCGGAAAGATGGATCTTGTAACAACTCATCTATGCCCATCAGCCAAAGTTGTGCAAATTCCACATTGTCCTGAGTCTTCTTCAGCTGTTCTTCATGTAGGGGACTCTGCTGATCACCACAGGTTGATGCAAAGAAGGAGGAGCAGAGGAGCCCATGGACACGCTGGGTTACAGTGCAAGGCAAGGAGTACTTCAAGAGGCTGGTCAGCACTGGTGGGCTGATGGGGAGGGAGGAATTTGGTTTCTGCCACTGGCAAACTGAGCCCAGGCCAAGCCAGCCCTAACTGGAGTTGGAGGAGATAAGTCCAGAGCCACAAAAGGAGGAGGACCACCAGAAGGCACAAGTGGGATTGGAAAGAAACCTGGCTGAGACTGGTGAGGGCATGGAAAGAAAAACAAGATGGAGAAAAAGACTAAACAGCCAACAAGCTTTAGGCAGGTCACTTGCAATGTGTACAAGTCATGGTCCTCCTTGTGCTGCTAAAAGGGACCCAGAGGTGCAGCAGCTCAAGACACAAAGATTGGGGATGGTCCCGCTGGGTGACAGAGGGACCCAGATCACTCTCAAGAGCCCTAAGAAGGGCATGGAAGGCTTGGAGGGAAGCTCCTGACAGCACAACAAAGAGCCCAGGAGGTCTCCTGTACAGTGGCTTTCCTATGGGAGCAGTAAAGGTGGGAAGCAAGGGAAAGGCTGCAGGAGGACTGGAAAGCCCTCGCTGCTCCCAGGCTGTGCTGCCACACCCTGCTCTATGACATCTTGAAGTCTTTATATCCAGTTCAGGATCATAAAAACAGCTTCTTCCCAGGCTCTTTGAAGTCACAGGGCAGTAAAGCAGCTGCTGACTGGTCCAGACCCCTGGATGTGCTGCGGTGACACATCTCCTCCCTCCACAGGAGGTGTGTGCTGCGACAACGGCACTGCCACCACTGCCACGTCCCGCTGGTGACACCTGGGAGCCAGGCAAGGAGGAGGGCGTCCTGTGGGCAGTGCTGGCGAGGCAGAGGAGGGGCCGGGGCGGGGGCAGTGTTTCAGCTTTGCGGATGCTGCCGTGTCGGTTTCCCGGGATTACTGGGCGGCCACAAGCCGGGCTTCCCCCACCCACCTGCGGGACAGGACGGCAGTGGCTCAGCCCAAAGCGAAGCAGCTGTACCTGCAGTTTGTTCTTACCGGGACAGAGTGTGGCTTCTCTGTCTGCAATATTCACCAAAAGCCAAAGGCACTGCAGATTTGTCTGGCAGGCCGGGTACCTTTCTCCAGGCGATGATGGGAAAGGGGTCTCCGGCAGCAGCGCAAGGAATCAACAGCTCCCTCCCTGCCTCCTGTCTGTACTCCCAGCCTGGTAGCACCGTGAAATAGGGGGGGTCCTGCAGCCAAACAAGGGAAAAACAACGAGTGTCAGCCTGCCCAAACTCCCATCACCAAAACCAAGCCTTTTCCAGACCACCCCAATACCCATTCTGGGTAAGCTTGAGGCATTGCAAGGAAAATTGTGCGGAGAACGTGTGCTAAGGAGCCTCAATGGCTCAAATTACATCTGGAGGAAGATTCTGTCCAAAGAGCCACCACACTGGAGCACAGAATCATGGAATCCCAGAATGGTTTGGGTTGGTAAGTACCTTAAGGCTCATCCCATTCCACTCTCTGCCATGGGCAGGAACACGTTGCACTGTCACAGATTGCTCCTACTGGCCTTGGACACTTCCAGGGATAGGGCAGCCATAGCTTCTCTGGGCAACCTGTGTCAGGGCCTCCTCATCCTCACACAGAAAAGCTTCCTCCTAATATCTAACCTAAATTTTGCCTCTTTAAGTTTGACCCCATTACCCCATGTCCCATCTCTACAGTTCCTGACAAAGAATCCCTCTCCAGCTTCCTTGCAGGTGCCCTCAGACACAGGAAGACTGCTTTGACACCTCCACGCAACTTCTCCAGGCTGAGCAGCATCTTGCTTTTTACCTCCTGGAAACAGGAAGAAACCCACCCACATCACATCAGCCATCAACCTGGTTTCCTCGCCCCGGCAGCCGCCCCGGCGGATGCGCGTGTCTGGTACACAAAGCGTTATCATCTGAACCTCGCCGAGACTCCATGAATCACCACAGCTCACTCCCAGGCACAGGACTCCGTGTTCAGGGAGGGAAGAGGCAGCAGCTCCCACCCCAGCTGCACCAGGAACTGCACTGGGAGCTCAGCGCGCCCCAGGCGCCGCACGCAGCCGGAGCACGTGGAGCTCAAATCATCCATTTATGAAAATCCTCCTGAACCCAAGCCCGGGCCAGCAGGGCTAAGTGTTTTGTTGGCAAAGGGGACATTCCAGGGAGATGTTTCCTCAAACTACCCCAGTCCAGAGTCAAAACCCGCACTGCTGCTCCAGCAGGATATTTCCAGCTACACCAGACAGGGTGCCCTGGGGGTTTGCCTGGGCCGGTGGGAAGCACATCTCCAACCACAGCACAGACACTCCCTCACCCTGGAGCCTCTGCTCTTCCCCACACAGCCCCGGGAGCTGCTCCTGGCACAGGAGGACACTGCTCCCAGCAAACCCAGGGGATTTTGGCAGAGGATTACCTTCAGTACCAGTCGGGCAGGGGGAGACTGGCCCATCGTACCCAGGGCGTTATAAGGCACACAGGTGTAAGTGCCGAGAGCATCTTCAGTGGCCTCCTCGATCCGGATCGAGCCGTCTTCCAGCAGGTTCCAGCCAGAATACTGCAGCAGGGAGAGCCAGGGAGATCACTTAGCCAACACCCACCACAGCTCCTTATTTCCCCCTCAGCCAAGCCCCCGCCCATGCCCAGGGTGCTGTCACATCTCCTGGAGATGCCCAATCCCACTCCCAACATCCAAAGCATCTCCTCAACAGTAGAGAGAGGAAACTTGGGCAACATCAGCCTGTCCAAGCACAGCCAGGCACCTTCATGTAGCCCAAAAGATTTAAGATCAGAATCTAACACTAAATAAGACTTGTTCTGGAGTCAGCAAGACATCTCTACCTGGAGAGCTGAGGGCACCAAGGACCAAGAGGCCACAGCAGCAACAACTTTAAATGGAATTAAAACTTCAAATCGTTAATATTTAAGCAAAAACTTTAAAATATTGAGTGTTTTCTTTAAATATTTAATGGCTAATATCCTTGCTCAGACTATCAAACCATGATTAGGGGAAGATGTAGATTTGTTAAAAGGGTCTTTTAACCACCAGTTGCCATTGGAAAAATAAAGCAGGGCCATCGGGAGGTGACTTTAGGGGGAAGAAGTCATCAGGTGTGGGAGACACAGAATGTCCACAGGCACTGTGGGCTCCATACAAGAACTGGAATACTGGAATTAACTCTGCCCACAGCTGATAAGGAAAAGCAGTGTCATCCCATCCACGAGATTCTTCTCTCCCGACAGAAAGGGACCCACAGGGTGCCTGGCGGTGCTCACTGGTGTTTGCTGAGGACATGAGGGTCCGAGCCCTCTGTGCCCCCCTGTCCCCTGCTCCCTGGGGGCTCTGGTACCTTCTCGATTCGCAGGGGACGCCCGTCCTTGTTCCACTTGACCAGCGTGACCGGTGGCTCTGCCTCCACGGGGCAGCGGATGTACCCGTGGATCCCGATGGGAACGTAGATGATGGGGGGCATGTTCACCACACGGGCAGGATCTGGGAGGGCAGCAGCACCACATCAGCACGGGGGGAGAGCCCTTCTCTCCTCCCAACCTGGCTTCAGAGGATCTGCCTCACTTCTGTAATGAATTCCAAACCCAGCACCACCCTGGCTCCCACAGGTTGTTAAGCCAGGCTTGCTACACACAAATCCTCTGGAATACCTGGTATTTCTGGGAGGCTTTGCTCATGTCCGGGGTGTTCCTACCTGGGGCTCATTAAGATTGCATTTAAGAAGAAATGGGAGATATGCCTGCTCCCAATTCCACACCAACTTGCATCCTGCTGCTCCATTACAGCACAACATGTGCCAGGTGTGACAAACACACAGCACAGCCTGGTTTTACATATAAGCAATCAAACCTATTTCAGCTGCCAAGCCTTAAAACACACACAGATAGGAAAAGGGATCTGTGTCCAGGCTGCCACAAGTCCTTTACCTCCCGTATCTGCTTATACTCATGCCTCACTGAGGCTGGGTCATGTTGAACAGCAGCCACCTCACCCTTTCCAAGATGCAAAAACCTTAAAATACATATCTAACCCCCCCTCCACACTGCACCACCCACGCAGAGAGGTGTCTCGCAATCCTCCAGTCTAGAATGTGTCATTAACAGCACTTCTAAGAGCTTTTTAATTAAGTGCGAGTGGGTTGAAGAGAATCTAGACTTTCTTTAATAAGAAGCTTTTTAAAAAAATGTTATTTTTAATAAGAAGAGTGAGTATTTCTACAATCTCGTCTAGACACCGGCAGCACGAGGTTATGGGAAAATCCTGATGGGGCTTATGCTGCATTAAGGGATAAATGTGGGAGTTTTGGGGTGCAGCATCCCTGCACTGCTGATGCAAATTGGGAGGGTAAACATTAAGGTGCTTAACAGGAAGGCATGGAAGATGTGGAAGATGGAAGATTATTGCTTTCTTGGGGCAAAACCAGCAGAGTTTGGGGGCTCTGCTCCCAGCAGGTCACCCCAACCACTCCCCAAAACTGCTCACCCCCGGCAGTGGCACCATAACCCAGATTGCCCAGTGCCACATATGGAGCAGCTTTACCCCCCTCTGCTTAACTCCACCTCTTAGGAAATGTAATCAAGGACTCCAGCAGTGCGGGAGAGGGTAATGGGATCGAGCCTTTCACTACTAGGTCACTGGCCAGGGGCCAGCCCAGCCCACTAATGACCCAGAGCTGTGTCCCCATCTGCTTTCAGAGGATGGGAAGCTCCCTCCAGAGGTATCACCCCGGTGTGGACAAGGTTTGCTCAGGAGGAAAAGGGTTTGTGGCACCAAAAACCGAGCACCCTTCCCTGCGCTGAAGCCTGGCTGAGCAGCAGATTGTCCGAGCCTGTTCTCCCTGCCATTAGAGCTATTTTTAACAGCTATCAGCCCTGACAAGCGGCCCTGGATTAGAGGCAGGGCAGATTTAATGGCCTGAGGCCACAGGCTTTCCCAAGAGCCACCCAGCTGGGAACATCCAAGCCCCAAATCAGGCCTGTGCCTGGGCACAGCACTACTCACACCATCCCCCTGCCCACTCTGCCCCTCCATCCGTCCCCACAGGGACCTGCCAGCCCAGCTCTTGGGCTCCCCACTAACCAGCACCAGGTCTAAAGGCAGCAGCAGCTCTAAGGCAGCCTTGGAAAACCCTCGCTGAGAGCCCGCTTTGCTCAGGCCTGTCTTTCATTATGAAATGAAAACACCGAAGTCTTTCGGAGCAGAGCAATATTGCAATTGGAGCGGCGGCAATTGAGGCCATTACAGGGGAATGCCACAGGATGCCGGTGGCACACTACCCATTACCGCCCGGGGATTCCTGCAGAACGAGCGAGCGAGCGTGGGAGGCGCCGCTCCTGCTGCAGCCCTTTCTCCTGCGCTTGTTTAGATCGCTTACCGCCCCAGGAATGTGACACACCGAGCTCGCAGAACGGCCACAACACAGGAATAACCCCCAAAATGAACACCAAAAAAACCACACCTCGGCACTGAGAGCCCTCACCTCACCCCAGCAGGGTGAGGACGGTGAGGCAGCCGCCATGGGATGATGCTCACCTGTTACAGACATCTTTTATGAAAAATCCTTTCTTTAGGATTTTTCCTCCTTAGAAGCTGAGAAGCCTCAGGAACAAAATGCAAACATTGACTATCTGCTGCTGTAGAATGCAACAAGTAGATCTTTGATTAGCCCATGTTAGTTGTTTCTAATTAATGGCCAATCACAGCCCAGCTGGCTCGGACAGAGAGTCCGAGCCACAAACCTTTGTTATCATTCCTTCTTTTTCTATTCTTAGCCAGCCTTTTGAGGAAATCCTTTCTTCTATTCTTTTAGTATAGTTTTAATGCAATATATATCATAAAATAATAAATCAAGCCTTCTGAAACATGGAGTCAAATCCTCATCTCTTCCCTCAACCTAAGACCCCTGTGAACACAGTCACGCTCACCTAATTAAAAAACACTTGTAGCCAAGGTGGACGCTGGTCCCAGCTGAGCAGTGTCACTCAGGCTGCTCAGACCATTTGCTTTCTTGTCTCCCACGCCCACGTGGGATGCTCTTAAGCTTTTTTGCTGAGGATGATTCCGTGTTCATCCAAAGGCTGCTGTCACATCAGCCTGACTCTCCCAGTGTCACACCAGGACAAGAGAGCCTGTGGGGCTGCCTGGGAGCCAGGTGTTATCAATGCCAGCCCCATCCCCACACTCACACTGCACTGTCAGGTAGGCAGAGGCTGATGGCGAGCGGCCCAGGCTGTTGCTGGGGATACAGGTGTATTTTCCAGCATCCTCTGGTTTGACACGGAAAATAATCAGCGTCCCATCGATCAGGATCCGCACCCTCAGCTTCAAGTCACTGCAGGAGAAGAGGAGAGGAGGATCACGAGGAGAGCCAGAGGCAAAGCCCAGCACAATCCCAGCTCCCAGCACAAGCCAGGAGCAGCAGGAGGAGGAGAACACGCTGCCCCACCAGCTATAAACTCACTTCTTGAAGTAGACGTTCTCCTCCTCCCAGTACCACAGGTAGGTGAGGTTCCCGGGATACGCCTCGGCCTGGCAGGTGAACAGAGCATCCTGGGAGATGTTTACCGTGATGTTCTCCGGAGGGGAAACGATAAAGGGAGGTCCTGGAGGGGGGAAGAGGAAGGTGTCACTCCCACCACTACAGGTGTCCCCACAAAGGTTGCTCAGGTTCAGCTCCATCACAGCATTTTGGCTGGGAGCTGCTGGAGGGCTCTGGGGCAGGGCTGGCCCCGATCCTCTGAGAACCACAGTGACCCTGTTATTCCCAACCTTTTCCCTAATCTCTGGGCTGACCAGTGACCCTGTTATTCCCAGTGCTTTCCTAATCTCTACAGCTTTGAGGAGAGGATTCACGCCCATGGTGCTTCTTCCAGGGCACACAAGGACACACCTCCCTTCATCCCCAGCACTTCTGGAGGATAGTATCACCCACAGGAAAAATCCAGGGGGAACAGACTGCCAGGAGCCAGCAGCTCACCACTGCCACAAAAGCAGAGCAGAGGACACCCCGCGCTCCTCTCTCTGCCGGTAGCTGCTGACCTAATTAAAGATTTATTTAATAAGAGAGGGAGCAAGGAGCAGGAGGCCTGTCATGCATCACCGCTGTCTGACGAGGCGCTTCATGACAGCCTCAATCTTTTCCCCGCTTCCCAAACAAAACCGAGCTGCCATCAGGGCCTGGCTTCTCATCAGCACGGCCACCACCATGCCCCAATTAAGCAGATTCCTCCATCCTACAAACCGGATGCAGAGCCAGGGGCAGCCAGGCACAGAGGCCTGGGGGGTCGCCCAAAGGTGACACCATGGACCTGTGGAATGCCCCCATCCTGGCTTCCCAGGGGATGCAGAGGAGCTGGAAGGTCTCACCTTGGACGAGCAGGCGCGTGGTGTGCACAGCCTCGCCCTGGATGCTGTAGGCCCGGCAGGTGTAGGCACCTCTGTCCTCCCGGCTGACCGAGAGCACCGTGAGGCTCCCGTCGCTCACCTGGCAACAAGGGAAGACCCTGGAGCGTGGGCAGGGACCCCCAGGGGGATGGGGGAGGCCCTCCCTGCTTCCCACGGCAGAGCTGCCGGCGCTCTCGGGGCCGGATGAGAGACGGGTTTCCCCGCTCTGCAAGACGTGGGATATTAATAAACCAACACACGCCTTGCTGCTCGACGCCAAGGGGAAGGGAAAAAAAAAATCATGAAATAAATAAATAACCATCCCAGCACATTCGTCTCCCTGAAGTGACTGGCAGGCAGCAGGCTCCAAATCGCTCCTGCCAAGCACCCCAGCACCATTGGAGCTGCACAAGGAGCCTTCCCTGCCCCCTCAAGGACCTGCTCCATTGCTGGGGGATGAGGGGAGACCCCAGCCTGGCCACTGTCCTCCCTGTGGGGCCACCTCTCAGCTGGAAGAGGAGTGGATGGATTCCCCTGGGGACACAGCAGAAGGATGGACAAGGGACTGTCACCTTTGGGGTAGCAGCACCCCCATGCACAGGGGAGGCCTCCCAGCCAGGCTTCCCCCCCACCTCATTCTGCCTCATCCTTCTATTTCAATTAGTAACAAATGATTCCTAATTACTCTCATTAGTGCCTGCGCTGATTCCAATGCCTGATTTACCAATTACAGCTCAGGGGGGAATCTCTGCCTGGGAGCCTCTGGGATGCAAAAAGGGTCCTGAAGGGGAGGGGAGGAGGGGAAATCCTCGCTGCTCAATCCTGCCTTGCCCCAGCCCTGCCAGGGGGGACACTACCCCAGGCTGCAGCCCCCACCACACCTCCAGGGTCTTGACCCCTGGGCTGGGTCTGCAGGGAGCAGGTCAGGTGCAGGAGCAGGGCTGCCCCAAGAGCTCGGAGGGTCTCCAGCCTGCACCCAAGGGCTGGCAGCGTTACAGGCTGCTGCTCAGCAGGGATGGGGTGGGGGAAAATGGGCATCTCACCAAGGAGAAGTGCTGAGAAAGCACGTCTGGCTCCAGGCTCAGCGGAGCCGCCGCCACCGTGGTCCCGTCAATACTGTCCCTGCCAGCTGCCAGCCCAGGAGCCCCCACGGCAGCCCACCCCCACCTACCTGGTACTTGCCATTGGCACCCAAAAGGTCTCCCTCTCGGAGCCAGGTGACGATGGGCTTGGGGTTCCCGAACGCCATGCAGGTCAGGGTGACGCTGCTGCCCTCCTTCGCCTCTACGTACTGCGGCGGGGTCTCCGTGAACGTGGGGGGAGCTGGGGACACACCACACCACCGGGTCACCCGTGGCCTCTCCGGGGCTGGGGGCACACGGGGACAGAGGGGACGCTGCTGCCTGCACACAGGGGATGCCCTGCACATCCCCACGGCAGGGCTGCGACCGCCACAAAGGCTGCACGGACAGGGGTGTCCCTGGGGACAGCGACCAAGAGGTGCCACGTCGCACCCTGTCCCCTCTCCTCCCCCCACCCCGCTGCACATTAACTCGCTATTGTCAAAACATGGGAAAACACCGCAGTGCAGATCGAAAGGCTCCTTCCTGATGAAAGAGGCTGGCAGGATTACAGCCCGCCCCTAATTACCCGCGGTTGTTAAAGCCCACTTTAGAAGAAGACAGGTTGGCAATTTAATCTGCTTGGGAGAAAAAAAAAAAAAAAAAAGAAAAGGAATTATATTTTGTTTCTCCCCAAATGATTTTTATTTTCCCCCTAAGAAAATTAAGCATTGTAATGCGCTGGGGGAAAGCCACAGCCCTCACCCTGAAAGCAATTCCTCGGGCTGGGAGGATTATGGTTATTATATTGTTATTAAGCCCCTGCACGCCCCGTGCTGCATAAAGCCCCAAAACTGGCCCATTTTGCCAAGGGGAGGGACAGGGCATCTGGGGCCATTTTCCAGGCAGTTTGCAGGATCCGTGCACGTGGCAGAGGTGAGCCAGGCACCACCATCCTCCTCCTTCCTCCTCCTCTTGCCCTCCTTCCCAAGCCCTCGGAGCTCATTAGCAGGTTGTGGGAAAGCAGGAAGCAGCAGGCAGGGCAGCAGGCAGGGATGGGGCTGGTGGCCTGCACAGCCCCGCTTGCAAAGCTCCTGCTCACTAATTGGGCTCAATTAGGTGGCTCTGCTCTGTGCCACAGCACAGCTATCCCCCCAAAGGTTAAATTAATTGCACAAGGTCAAGGCAAGACCAGCGAGGAGCTGCCAGTGGCCACATCTCTCCAGCCACCCCACTGCAGCAGGAGAGGCACAGCCCTGCTGCTGGGCTAAAAATAAAGATCTCTCTCCTGATGCAGAGAATGACAATTTGTTAATTAGTTTAATATACAGCCTTAATAAAATGAAAAAGTAATTTGAGTAAATCTGAATTTCAAGAAAACAAAGATTTGATTTTCTGATCTGTTTGTTGAGAGGAGATTCATTCCCAGCCCCGGTTCTTGATGTCTCTCCTTTAAACAAGCTCTGTGTAATTAAACTGAGGAATCCCTAATAAAGCTTTGTCCCTTTTGAAGTCACACCCTGGCCGGATCAGCCAGCCTGGATGGCTTCAGGCTGGCGTGTCTACCAGGCACAGAAGATGCCATTGAGGCCCAGCATCCCCCAGAAATCCCATTTTGGCACCGCAGGGATGCCGCAGCCCCCGCCCCGCTCACCATTGACCGTGAGGTGGACCCAGCTGCCGTTGTGGAAGGTGTCGTACTGCTGGTCCAGCATGAGCACTTTGCACTCGTACCAGCCCTGGTCCTCAGAGCGCACCTGCTCAATGCGCAGGGAGGCTTTGTCATGCAGGCTGGCCCGGCCTGTGGGAGAGCACAGCGTTGGCACCGTGTCCCCAACACCAGAGCAGCCCCCGGAGCATCACTGCAGGGGACACCCCATCCCAAACTGCTGCAGCTCCCAGGGCATCACTGCAGGGGACACCCCATCCCAAACTGCTGCAGCCCCCAGAGCATCACTGCAGGGGAAACCCCATCCCAAACTGCTGCAGCTCCCAGGGCATCACTGCAGGGAAAACCCCATCCCAAACTGGAGCAGCTCCCAGGGCATCACTGCAAGGAAAACCCCATCCCAAACTGCTGCAGCTCCCAGGGCATCACTGCAAGGAAAACCCCATCCCAAACTGCTGCAGCCCCCAGAGCATCACTGCAAGGGAAACCCTATCCCAAACTGGAGCAGCTCCCAGAACATCACTGAAGGAACAAACCACCCCAAACTGGTGCAGCCCCCAGAGCACGGCCACAGGGGACATCCTATCCCCACACCAGAGCAGCCCCCAGAGCACCATTGCAGGGGACACCCCCATCCTGGCCCCAGAGCAGCCCCCCAGAACATCACCACAGGGGACACCCCATCCCTGTGTGGGCACTGTCCCGGTGTGGGGCTGGCTGGTCCCCACGGTGTGGTTCCAGCTGGTGGCGCCAGGTCAGTGGTGCCAGGCCAGTGACACACTCGCCCATCTGGGGACAGCAGAGCCAAGCTGCCAGGGCCAGGCAAGGTGCCTGGAGCAATGTCTGCCCGCAGCGACACCGGCCTTCTGCTCCCAGCCGGGGGCTGGCGGCGGCACAGCCGGCACAGGGGCGTGCCCCAGAGCTCTGCCCCGCCTGGGAGACTCCCAGAAAGCAGGGCAGCCCTGAGCTGACCCTGTGCACAGCCCCAAAAACTGGGTCAGGAGCAGAGCAGCCTAAAGCTCCACCCTGGTGCAGTGGCCACTGGGCTGTGGGATCGCTCATTGCTGAGCTGAGTTTGGCAGGGCTCAGCTGGTGCATCTTCCCTGCTGCTGCATTTCTTAGAGACCAATTTGGGTGGAGAGTCCCCTAAGACCCAGGGAAGATTCCCAGGACAGGGAAAGAGATACCACAATGTGTCTGTCCTGCCACACCAACCTTCTCAGGGCTGGTTTCCAGCTCACAGATCCCACCAGAGGACACCGGCCACGTGTCACAGGCAGCACATTGGCAAGCAGCCACATGAGTTCTGCAGCTCCAACCTGTCACCTCCGCCCAGCACGTGGCCCTGGCTCCATCCCCTGTGTCCCCCCAGCACCCCTCCCTGGGCTCACAGCTGCTCTGGGGTGCAGCAGCAGCAGCAGCAGCCACCGCCACCACGCATCACCCTGGGTTTCTCTGCCTCGCTTGCTCCCGTCCCACGCAGCCCAGCTGGCTTCCTAACGCTGCTGCTTAATTAAAACCAACTGGGTGGAAAGCGAGCAACGAGAGGCAGAGCCCGCGTGGTTTGTGACAGAGGAACGGATGGAGCGGAGCTGCATGGCCCAGGCCGGGCTGCAGCCGGGACCCAGCACCCTCCCCTCGTCCCCCTGCGCCCCCGGGACTCACCGGCATACTCTGGGTCCACATGGGGAGGGTAAAACCCAAACTTGATGAAGATGGGGATGGGGACGCCGAACTTGAACCACTCCACGACATAGGGAGGGGGCTGTCCCGTCAGCGGGTGGATCACGTCGCATCCCAGGATCACGCTCTCGCCAGCGCGAGCGGTCACGAACTCGGGCTCCTCCCTCGAGCCGAGGGCACCTGCGAGGGGGCGAAGGAAGAATCTGTGGCTGATCCCACTGCTGTGCCCAGCATTGAACCAGGATGCCCATACCCAGCCCCTTGTCTCCAGCAAGGGCAGCTCACGGCTCACCCTTGCCCCAAAACCAACAGAGGGTCCCAAGCCCTTACACTCAGCTCCAAGGCCACCCCTGAGCTACCACAGGAATCAGGACAGTGGCCATCAGCACCCCAATGTTGCAGGACAGCTTCCCAACCTCTGCACCAGGGCAAGGGTGATGCCCAGTGACCACACAGGGGTTTTGGGGACCCCTGCTCTCAGTAGAAGAGCACAGAGCATGCCTAGCACTGCTCCCCACATAGCAGCACCATCCGGGCCACCCTATATCCTTGTGGCAGGGAAAAGGCTGCTTTTAGCTTGTGCCCCTGCATCCTCCAGCGGGGAGGACTGAGCATGCACGGACCCCTGGGCACAGCTCTGCTGTGCCAGCCCTCGGACCCAGCTCTCCCGCCGCTGCCAGGGTGGGCTGGGCCCCCGGAGCCACCATGCCCCAGCCAAGCCCACATGTCCTCGGGCATCCCCGAGAGCCCCAAGCCTGAAACCCGTCTGCGACCTGCGGGTCGGGTCTGTCACCCTGCTCCTCCCAGCTGGCTAATTACAGGGGACTTTGGTCTCAGCTCCGAGGCTGCTCCACCCCGGCTGTGCCGCCCTGCTCGCTGCAGCCTGGCGTCATCCCGCTCTGCCAGCAGCAGCAAAGCTGCATCCTCAGCACGGCGTTCAGAGAGGGAGAGACAGGGAAACCCAGGGCTGGGAGGAAGCCAAACAGGGGGTCCCCAAAACTAGGTTTAGACCCACATCGCCCTTCCCATCATGGAAAGGACCCCGTTTTCCTGGCACACGCGGCCGCTGGCTGTTCCGGGGGGGTTGCTCGGGGAGGGATGCTCGGGGAAGCACGTTCCCACTCCTCCGCGCTGCTCCTCGGGGCCGCCGGTGATTGGCGGCGAGTGACATCACCGCTTCCCGCCGCGGGAGCCGAGCATCACCGAGCATCACCGGCTATTTTTGGCTCTGGCACAAGCGCGTACCGGCGAGAGGCCCGTGATGTGCCACCCCACGGGCCCACCAGCCGAGTGTCCCCGCGGGAAGGGCAGCGGGCAGAGCCGGCCGCGGCTCGCACACGGCACGCACAAGGTGTGTCCCTGCAGAAGGTCACCGCTGATGGTCACCAAGCTCCCGCGCCACCAGCAAACCGGGCACGGGGGGCTCTTTAACTGGGAGGGCTGGCTGGTGGCAGCGGGCTGGGGGTGCAGAGCTGCGAGGCATCTGCAAGGAGCAGATGCTGCATTGCACACCCACTGCAGGCACCCGGCCCCGCTCGGGGGTCCTGCAGGGCCACGGATCCGCCCGGACCCCAGCGGGGCGGGGGGAACGGCTGAGCACACACGTGCGGTGTGCACGCACACCCCCGCACACGCTTTGCACCGCCTCGACAACACTCTTGCACCTTTCCATCCCTCGTTAGCGCTGCATCGCCGATGAGCTCCCGTTCTCACCCTGTCAGCAGGGACGGTACCAGCCCTCCCCTGCCACCCCGGCACTGAGCTGTGAGAACCCGTCCTGACCCCTCCATCCGAGAGGGTGAGGGGGGCTGCGCTGCAGGGCTGGATGAGCCCCCCTCCCTGTCCATGGTCCTGCTGCGCCGATCGGGGACAGAGCTGTCACATGCTGCTCAAGAGCATCCAAGGACGCGCTTCCCCAGCCGCCTTGCCAGAGCGAGCAGGTCCCCGGCACTTCATCACCTTCAAAGTGACATCCTCTCCCCACCAGCAGGAGAAGATGGAAGCGGTAGCACCCAAACCCCTTTCCCAAGCCCCCCACCTGCCCCAGCGCTCCAGCTCCTGGGCTACCAAGCTGGAATCTTGGTTTCCAGCACCTCTCCACCAACTGGAGCCTGGAATGCCAATGTTTGCCCAGCTGGAGCAAGCCCGCTGCCCAAGAGGCCACCCAGACACCCTGGGGACGGGCGCCAGGGAGTCACACTACATCAGGATGCCCTGGCTGGCTCCCTGGCAGAGCAGTGGGTGACGTCCCCGGGGAGGGGACGAGCCAGCCGCTCCGCCGGACCCACGCCTGGCCAGGGCTGCCCGGGCGCAGGAAAATAGGTCATCCCCGGCAGCTCACAGCGCCGGTGTCTGATCGCGGGGCCGGTGGGGAATTGCACGCACGGCTGAGCATCACCTCCCCAGCGCACGGCCGACTGGCAACCACGGCGGGGAACGGCCCCCGGCTCTGCCCAGCTGCCACCCGCCCCGCTACGGGCCCCGTGCCCTCCTGTCCCCACTTCCAGAGCGCCAGCAAGGCAATGGGGAGATGTCTCACAAACCCTCCTGGGGTCTCCTCAACTTCCCAATCCACCAACCCTGCGGGGTCCCAACCCTGACCAAGTTTTCCTTCCAAGTCCAGACCATGAAGAAAGCGAGCAATGGAGACTGCAGCTCTCGATTCAAAGTGTTTTCTCACCCCCACATTTGTAGGGAAACGCTTGAAAACAACCCGCAGACGCCAGAAGAAACAGAGCACAAATAGACGGGGTATTTTTAAACCCACTTGATTTTCCCAGCCAAGTTCAGAGAGGTTTCAAGGCTGAATCTGCGGTTTGGAAACAGGGTCAACATCAGGGAACGGCAGCACCGAGGCGAACCCCAAATCCGCCTCGGTGCAGGAGCTCACGTGAAGCTGGGGGATGCCTCGTAAAGAAAAACAAGTAATCAACAGGCTTCGTCATCCAGGCAGATCCAGGAAAAATAAAAGCACGCCGCGTGCCAGGAGGCAAGAATACAAGATGCGGAGGTGGAGTTGAACAGCATCCCAAAGGGAGAGGAGGGAAGGCTGCTGCCACCGAGACGGTGCCACCGCGGGGCTCCCCAGGACGGCGATGCCAAGCAGGGGGAGACCCTCACCTGGATCTGGGCGTGCAGTTCCTCCCATCCCAAGGGCACAGGTGGAAGGTGCCACAGGATTCGGTGAAGCTGAAGGCATCCAGAATCTCTGCTGTGCTTGCTGAAGCAGGACTCTTCCTGCAGGTGCTTTCAGAGAGGTTTCCAAAGGAACTAACACCTGGGAAAGCTTCCCCTCCTGGCACAGTGGACACCAATGCTCTAGGGCAGAGAGGGCATCCTGTCCTGACTCACCATCACCTTGCAGCCTGCTAACAGAGGCACCACTATCCATTTCCAGTGCTGCCCCACACCCCTGGCACTATCCCACCCCAGTGCCCCCATGGGGACGGCTGAGGGAGCAGGCACAAGGCCCCGAGCCTGTGGACCTCTCCTCCCTGGTGAGCAGAGACGAGATGTGCTCTGACACATCCCGCTCCCATCGGTGGAGGCAGGATATGGCAGGGATCTCTGAGGACAAGGCCACCAGCGTGGCATATGGAGGCCAGCAGGGAAGGAGAGCAGGCAGCCATCGCCATGAAATGAAGACAGGGGAGACTGCAGCCCAGGGTGAGGGACAGGGACAACGTGCTGCAGGGACCCTGGCAGGGTGTGGGGTGCTGGGAGTTTGCCTGTCCCCCACCTCTGTACCCCCTAAATATCCCAGTGGGGGTTGCACCCCCCATTACAAACCCAGCCCCTATCTTGGGGTATCCAGAGCCCCCCAAAAGCACCCGCCTGTCCCCTGGTGGGGGAAGCCCTGGGGCTGGGAGCGCAGCCCTCACCCCCTCCCCCAGCTGGAAAGCAGCATCTGGGCTTTCAGTGCGATTCCTGCGTTTTAAACCCGATTTTCCAGATGGATGGAGGGCGATGCGCAGGTCAAGTGACATGCCTCAAGGTCACACGGGGCCAGGGAGGAGAAGGATTAGCAGCTCTGAGGGGTGGCTTGGTGCCCCATTCCCAGCGAGATGGGGACTCAGAACCCCATTCCTGGGCACAAGGGGTGTCCTGTGGGACCATCACCCCCCTCCTCAGGCAGGCAGGCAGCTGCCCTGGCATCCCAAGGGGAATGCAGGCATGGGATGCTGCCCCACAGCAGCCCCACAGTGGGTCCTTGCTCCCTGGAATGGCACAGGTGGGAATGTGCCTGGCTGGGCAGCAGCTCAGTGAGCACATGGGAGCACAGGTTGGTGCTCTGAGAGGCACGGAGATGGAGCAGGAAAGAAAATTACTTCCCTGAGGTCACCTTACTCCTACCTGGGGGTCCCTTGTGCCCCCTCCCTCCAATCACCACCAGCCCGGCATTGAGCATCCGGTGTTGGCAGCTGCCTCGTGGGAGGCATCATCTCCCAGCAACGACCAGCAGCTACCTGTGCACTCCCTGTGAGCTCCCTCCACGCACCACAGGGACAAACAAGCAGCTGTGGTGGGAGCTGGAGCACCAAACCCATCCCAGAAGAGACCTCTGGCAGCTGGAGAGCACTGCCAGGGTGCTGTGCCCCCAGTCCAGCCCCACATCACCCCAATACCCCCATGCAGGCTGGCACCACCCTCCCCGTGGAGCAGTGGGTACCATCCCGATGCATTCCCAGCCCTCCAGCAGGAAACTGGGATGCAGGCAGCGCTCTGAGCTGCCCGCCAGCAGCTCCTGAATCACGCTGTTCCTGGCTCAGGCAGCCCTCCCACCAACGCCAGCCTCTCCACGGAGGAGCGGGAGGAAGCGAGTTGTTTTTCCAAAGGCCAGCTGGTCGCTCAGGGCTCCCAGCCTGGGAGATTCCTCCTGCAGGGAAAGGGAGAGGGAAGCACTCCTCCATCGGCACGGCACGGGGTTGGACCCACTGCTGGCCCATCTGCAGGGCTTCTCATCCATGTGAAGGCATGACCTCCAAGACAGAGGACCAGAGGTGAACGGGAGCTGTGCCACCCTGCCACAGCTCTGGAGAGGAACTTGCAGGGCTCACCCATCACCAGCAAAGCTGCATCTTCCAAGCCAAAAGGCAACTGAGCCGGCAAAGCATCACCACAAAGACCCGCCGGCAAGCCAAGTCATCCATCGAGCCGCTCACGTCCCTCCCTGCCCTGTGTACTCCCATCCAACAGGTCCAGAGGAGCAGAAAACCTCCAGGGAATGATGGAAATGGGAGCCCGGCCAACGCCCTTGGCTGTTCCCGGTGCCAAACCATCCCCTTGCCAGAAGACAGCGGGGCCAAAGCCACACGTGCCAAATCCAGCGGCTCCCGGTCCAGACTCCTCCACGGCCAAAGAGGCAAAACCCAAGAGCTGTGCACGGCGAGCGAGCAGGGGATGGAGGGCTGGCACTGCCACCCCGAGCCCCTCCAACGGCCAAGGTCAGCGCCAGGAGCGTCTCCTGCCGCGGTGCCCAGGGAGCCTCCTCACCAGAGCCGAATCCTCGCTCTGCAAACCCTCCTGCCCGATCCACCAGCATCCCCAGGCACTGTGTGTGTGCTGCCACAGCGTCACGCTCGTGGGAGAGGGAGGAAAAGCCCCTCGGTGTGACGGCACTGCTGGGAATGCCAGGAGGCCGGATCCTTCCTCTGACACCCACTCCTGGCGCGGTCACGTCCTGGCTCTCCTCCCCCATGCCATAAGAGGGGATAACGCACCCTCCTTCCCTCTCTGAGCCGATTAACGCCTGGAAAGCCCTTGGAGAGCCAGGCAAGAAGGCTGCCCAGGGCCAGCACCGCTGGCAAGGAGGAAGTGGTGTGGGAGGAAGGCCATGGCAAGAGGAAAAGCCCCAGCACAGGCACCGGTACACGGTGAGCCCCAGCTCTCCTCCTGTCCCCAAGCAATGCAGGGTGACAGCTCCCCATGAGGACGGGCCAGTGCTGGGACCAAAGGGCTGCAGCAGCTGGGGCGAGTGCCGTGGGCTCCCTGCCCCTGCGGGGGCCGCGCTGGCCCGCAGCACCCCCTCCCCCGGCAGCCACCCCCGCATTACTCACGGCACGCTCATTCATCACGTACACGCTGCTCCACACGCACAGCACCCCCGTGCCGGGGCTTCCCGGCACCAGTTCCGGAGCTCCATCCCCGCGGCTCCAGGGTATTTCCAAGTTCCCAGGTGCCGAACGCGCTGCTCTGCTCCTCTCCCCGGCGGAGCATCCCTGTACAAGCAGCTGCTGCAAACACTGCCTCGCCACACTGCAGCACGCAGTTCAGCCTGGCAGCTGCCGGCCACGGCTCGGTGAGAGGGGCTACGTACCCCCAAATGGGGCAGCCCCATCGTGAACCCCCCCAAAAGGACAGCCCTGTCCTGACACACACCCCCCTGCCTCCAGGAGCCGCCTGCCAGGCGAGGAGGACAAGGGACGAGATGTGACCCAGTGGGCTCAGGGAGCGCTGTGAACTGGGGGGGCTGCAGCACCCGGCAGGTGCCCCCTCCCAGCCCACCCGTGCCCCCCGAGGCAGCGTCCCCCTCAGCACGGGGAGGGGAGTGGTGGTGGCTCCCAGCCAGGCATCCCTTGCTCTGCCGGCAGCCACTGCATCCCCATGGGCAGGGTGGGTGACACCCAGGGCACGGCTCCAGGGTCTCATCCCGGGAAAGGACCACCGGGACGCAGGGAAAACCGTGTGCCCCGTGAGGAACCAGCGGCAGAGATGGGGGACGGTGCTGCACCAGCGGCAGGGAGCTCCCCTGTACCTGCAGGGATGGCTCGGAGGGGTGGGAGGGGGCTGGCAGCTGAAGGGAAAGAAGCTAGAGCAGGAAAATCAGGGTTATTCCTTGCCGCCGTCTCCGTCCTGACCTTGGACAACCCTGTGCCTCAGTTTCCCACAGCACAGCAGCCAGGCTGCAGTGGGGGGAGAAGGAGGGCAGCCTCTCCTGGGCGGGGGGGGTGGGAGCAAAGTCACCCCCAAACCCGCAGCCGGGGCGCTGCAGGGGAAGGCGACGAATCCCTCCTGCATTTCTCCTTGCCCAGCCGGGCTACCCTTGCAGGGAAGGGCAAACGCTGCCCGCACCCCCCGGAGCTGCCGCAGGCGCTTCCTCAGGATGAGAGAAGAAAATCCGAATGCGGAGAAAAGCTTGCCCATCCCTGATCAACGGGGACACTCAGCCGGCCGTGCTCCCTCCCCGCCAGGACCCGCACCCGCTCGCCTTCTCCCAAAGGGAATTTCCAGCCCCTGGGCAGAGGCTCCGCCGCACCGGCAGCGCGGCTTCCCGAACTTCCCCAGCTGCAGCCGCTGCCCTCGGGGAGGTCACGGCCAGCCCCGCCGAGAGCCTGCGGAGGGAGGATGCGCCGGGCGCTCCCGGCTCCCCCCGGCAGCGGGGGATGAAGGAATCGCCAGCGCCCCGCCGCAGCGGGAAGCGCTCGGTCCCCGCACCGGCAGCGGGGAAGACGCGAACCCCGCAAACCCCCTTCGCAGCCGCAGTTCCCCCTCCTACCCTCCTCCCCAGCCCTTTCCCGGTACCCTCTCCCCGGGACGTGATGCCCCCCCCGGTGCGCGCATCCCTCCCGGTCCATGCGCATCCCCCCCGCCGCATCCGGTACACCGGGAGAAGGGGGGGAGGACACGCAAAGGCGGCCCCGCCGCCGCCCCGCAAACCCCGGCGCGGCCCTCCCGGGCTCACCCCGGCGGAAAACACCCCGCGGCCGCACTCACCTTGGACGGGCAGCCCGCGGGCGCCGAGCACACTTGCTACCAAAGCGGCCACATACCAAATCATAGTACTACCGGCCCCCGGTGCGCAGCATCTTCCGCCCGCCGGGCGGCCCGGCCGGGGCGGGGCGGGGCCGGGCCGGGCTGGCCGTGGCCGGGCAGGGCTCGGCGGGGCTGGCGGGGCCGGAGGGGCGGCTCAGGGCCGGCCGCCCGCCGCTGCGCCCATGCCCGCGCCCATCCCCGCGCCGCGCCGCACCTGCGCTCCGCCGCGCGGTGCAGCCTAGCCTGCGCCCTTTAGCGGCTCGGCACCGCCCCCGCCCGCCGCCCATTGGCCGCGCCCCGGCGGAGTGGGCGGTGATTGGCCGCCGCCGCGGCCCGGGCCGGTTCAAGGTGGGTTGGCGCGCACGGGGCCCCTGCGCCGCAGTATCATGCGCACTGCCGGGAGCGGCGCGGTCACCTCCGCCGGACGGTCACCTCCCCGCACGGACACCCGCCGCGACCCGCGCCCGCACGGGCCCCCGAACCGGCTCGGTGCCACCTCCCCGTGCCCAGATGTGTCACCGCATCACCGCGGTGCAGCCTCACCGTGCCCAGATGTGCCCTGCACTGGTACAGTGTCACCTTCCTATGTCTAGGTGTGCCCCTGCACCGGTACAGTGTCACCTTCCTATGTCTAGGTGTGCCCCTGAACCATCTCGCTGCCACGTCCCCGTGCCCAGATGTGCCGCCGCACCACCTCAGTGCTGCCTCACCATCCCCAGATGTGTCACCAAACCGGTACAGTGTCACCTCGCTGTCCCCAGATGTGCCCTGGACCGGATCAGTGTCACCTCGCTGTGTCTAGGTGTGTCCCTGCACCCGTACAGTGTCACCTCGCTGTCCCCAGATGTGCCCTACACTGGTACAGTGTCACCTCTCTGTGTCTAGAGGCGCCCCTGCACCGGCTCGGTGCCACCTCCCCGTGTCCAGATGTGTCACCGCACCCACTCAGTGTCACCTCCCTGTCCCCAGATGCATCACTGCACCAGATCAGTGCCACCTCCTCGTCCACAGATGTGCCCCTGCACCAACTCGGTGCCACCTCCTCACTCCCAAATGTGTCACTGCACTGTTTGAGTGTCACCTCCCTGTCCCCAGATGTGTCACCACACCAGATCAGTGTCACCTCCCCATGCCCAGATGGACCCCTACCCTGGTTCCATGTCACCTGCCTGTGTCCAGCTGTGCCCCTGCACCGACTCATTATCACCTCCCTATCCCCAAATGTCACTGCACCTACTCACTGCTCCCTCCTTGCCTCCAGAAGTGTCCCTGCCATGGTGCAACATCACCTTCCTGGCTCCAGATGTGTCCCCTACAGCAGCTCAGCATCACTTTCAGCTTAGTGTCACTCCCTGTCCCCAGATGCATTCTCTGTGCCAGCTCAGCGTTACTTTCCTGTCCCCAGCTGTGCCCCTGCATAGCTTTAGTGTCACCTCCCTGTTGCTGGATGTGCCCCCTACAGCAGCTCAGCATCACCTCCCTGTCCCCAGACATGCCCCCCTCCCCTGGTGCAGTGTCACCTCCCTGGCCCCAGCTGCCACACGCTGCCTCTCTGACACACCAGTGACAGCTTGTGACTGGGCAGGGTCACCTCCCTACCAGGGGCTGAGCCACCTGCCCCCTGCACCAGCTCCACATCAGCTGTGCCATCTGTCCCTGCACCCTGCACCAGCTCAGGGTCACCTCCCTGCCAGCTGCCTGGTGCCACTGCAGCCTCGTACCACGCACCAGCTCAGGGGAACACAGCTGCCACCATCTGTGCCCTGGCAGAGCTCCAGGGTCATCTCCCCACCAGCCTGGGACAGATATGTCACCTGCCCCCTGCACCAGCTTGCTGTCACTTCTGCCAGGACCCTGCACTGCTCGGTCACCTCATTGCCACCACCACAGCTTGGTGTCACATTCACTCAGTGCCACTGTCACCTCTAGCACCAGCTGTGCCACCTCCTCCTGTCATTGCACCACCTGTGCCACCTCCCCTGCTCCTGCTCCACACCATTTGCCCACTGTGACAGCTCCTTGTCACCTGCTGGGCACAGCCCACCTGACAAGAGAGAATTTGGGTTCATTTCAATGGAAAATGGGCAGAGAACAGGAAGTGCCCCTGTGCTCCCCCATCTCAGCCCCCCCCATCCTCCCTGCAAAGACCTGGCAGTGCCAGATGGGCAAACAGCCGGGCTGGCTCCCCCAGGAGTGTGCCAGCCATGGAAAACGAGCCACTGAACTCCCCTAGATGACAGCCAGCCCAGGAGGGGACAGGCTCACACGGAGAGGGGGACACATTCCTTTGTCCCCAGCAGTCACTGTGTTCCCCTTGCCCATTGGGAGAGGTCTGAGCAGCTGCTCTTCCCACCTCTTCCCATACACGTTCAGGAAAGAAACAAAATAAAATTAAAAAAAAACCCAAACCAAACTCTTGCAGAGGATGTGGGAGTTGGAGAAACATCCCACAGCTTCTGCCTGGAATTACATTCCTGGAGGATCAGATGTTGGCACAGCCCTGGGCAGGAGGCAAGAGCATCCCCCAGCCCAGCCCCAGCTCATGCAAGCTCCCAGGCACTTTGCTTCCCCAGCAGATTCCAAGACCTCATAAAAGCCTGACTCAGCTCCTGGTGCTGAGGCCTGAAGTGAAAGCTTGCAGATCTTCACAGGGGGTTGGCACAGCCAGGGCTGACCCTTGTGCTGGGGCAGTTCTGCTCTCCAAGCTGCTCTCCTGTTTCCTGAAAGTCTGGTTTGGAGTGGCCCAGGAGGGCAAAACCCTTTGTCCAGCACCCTCCCCATGCCGGTCCTGCCACCTTCAAAGCACCCAAAATCTCCCAGCCTGCAGAGCAGCCAGCCCAAGGCTGGCACAGCTCCATCTGCCCTTGCCCAGCCAGACAGAGACAAAATGTTCTGGTCTAGCAGGAGTCCATGTTACCAGTCAGATCATCTCCATGTCTTTACCTGGCTTTTGCCACAATTTCAAAGAGGAAAAAAAAAATAATTAAGGGCATTGATGGCACCTTTGGTAACACAGCCCAACCTGGGAGGCATCAGGAGCCCGTGGTGGATGGGGGGGCCCAGCCCTGATCCCAGCCTGTGCATCACAGGGGCCCCACTAACACCCCTCAAGAAACTGGAAATATGGGCTTGGTTTGGAGCATGGCTGTCAGTTCACACCCTTGTTTCTCCAGACTAATTTGCTGGTTTCATGAAATCCATTCCCCACTGTTTTCACACTTCTCTCCCTCTCTATTTATAGCTGGGTTTATTTACATGAGCAGGGCACTCCTTGTACTTGCACGTCAGCCTGTGGTGGCAGAGCCGGGAGCGGGTGAAGGAATCAGTGGCGAGGCAAGGAGCACCCCAGGCCCTGGCCATGGCACGTGGGAGGCAGGTGGGCAGCCCTCCATGCCAAGGGGATGGCAATGGGACCAAATCAGCCACACAGCCCCCAGACCCACACAAATGTTCCCATCTCCATATTCCCAGCACTCCATGGAATGCAGGGCACCCTGCAGCTGGCACCTTCCTGCCCCACATTCCCAGCTCTGCAATTCCCATGGAATGCAGAGCACCCTGGAGCTGCCACCTTCCTCCCATCTCTGCAGTTCCCATGGGATGCGGGGCACCCTGGAGCTGCCACCTTCCTGTTCCCCATTCCCAGCTCTGCAATTCCCATGGAATGCAGGGCACCCTGCAGCTGGCACCTTCCTCTCAGCACTGCAGTTCCCATGGGATGCAGGGCACCCTGCAGCTGGCACCTTCCTGCCCCACATTCCCATCTCTGCAGTTCCCATGGGATGCAGGGCACCCTGGAGCTGGCACCTTCCTGCCCCACATTCCCATCTCTGCAGTTCCCATTGAATGCAGGGCACCCTGGAGCTGCCACCTTCCTGCCCCACATTCCCAGCTCTGCAGTTCCCATGGGATGCAGGGCACCCTGCAGCTGGCACCTTCCTGCCCCACATTCCCATCTCTGCAGTTCCCATGGGATGCAGGGCACCCTGGAGCTGCCACCTTCCTGCCCCACATTCCCAGCTGGAGCTGCTCTTGCAGCAGTGTTTTGCTGACCTGAGCTGTACCTGTGTGTTGTGCTACTGACCCAGGGATGTCCTTGTCCTCCACACAGCCATGGCCAGCAGAGCCCACCATGCCCAGCTGAGCCACTGACAACTGCCCAGTGATAATTCCACTGCTCTGTCTAACAAGAAGGATAAAAATGTGGCTGTTTTTTAAAAGAAAACAGCTCTGACAGATGAGGCAGGAGTTCTCAGATTAGCACCAGAGACCCGGGGGATGCAGCTCTCCCCATCACACACATTCATGTGGGAGAGATGCAGCCCTGGCTGAGCCCTGCTGCCATCTCCCTGAGATTTGGCTCTCAGGATCAGGGAGAGAGGTTTTGGGTTGGGAAGTGGCACGAGAAAAGTGGGAATGAGCTACAACTCAGGCTGGAAACCCAGGGAATTCCAGCACTTGGAGCAGCAAGGGTCTGGATCAGACTTCATATGGGGCAGCAAAAAATACTCAACACTGGAGAGGGGCTGAACTGAAAATGAGACTTGCCAGGGTATGGATTGCTGCCTCTCTCCCTCCAACACCTCACTGCTGGTGACCAGTCCAGGAAAGCAGGAATCTGGACCCAGCTGCTTCCCACCTGGCCGAGGGATGCTCCAACCCACACGGGGCTGAGTCTCCCTGCACAAGTACATGATTATTCACAGCCTCCAGCATTTGCATGGTGGAGTCACGAGTCTCACAACACCTGATCTCCCGGGAGAGCTGCCTCCTGCACTTCGGAGGGAACGGCCCACATTCCGAAAGTGGGACTTGGTGTCTCACAGCATCCCACATGGCCCAGCTGTCACCTCCTCCCCTCTCTGTGCAGGGACCAGCAGAGCCCACCCCATCCCTGCCATCTCAGCGAGGAAGAGCAGCAGGGCAGGGGCCCTCGGGGGCACTGCAAGCTCGGGAGCTGAGCTGGAAGGGCTGTGCCAAGCCTGCGGTGCCGCTGCCTGCGCAGCCAGCCTGCTCTTCGGAAAG